ACTTTCTTCTATCAATACTTTGCCTGCACTTAGCACATGCAAGTGTATGCACAAAGAATAAAATGTTACCAAGATTTGTTGACGAGCAATTGCAAATACATGTAAATCGTTTGCCATATACGCGGTTGAAATGATTTAAAAAGCACTGAAGTGTGTGCATAAATATAGAAAATGGAATTTCCATAGTCCATTGTCGTTCATTGTTAGGAACGATAAATCAGAAAGCTTGTTCATACAGGTTGGTGCTTGGCGACCCATTTACTTATATTAACATAACTGAGCATGTTAACTTGCAGCATTATATTGCTAGGTTTCTATATCCAAGTTTACAGCTTTTTGACGTATATGAAAGCCATAGTTAGCATTACATAGTTATAATGGTGCAGAATATTACTGACGTATAAAATTTAGTCGGTCAGTCCACACTTTAGATGGCCTGGTTTATTTGTGCTTTAATCATCAATGATTTCCGTTAGATTCTTGACTTGAACACATTTTTCGACTGGAAATTTAAGGATTTATTTTATCGAAATGCTATTAGCTATAATGCACATATTTCTGCTGCTAAGGTGGTCTACCACACTAAAAATCACGAGTTATCCTATTTAAAAATTACAAGGGATGCAGTCTTAAATGTCTCCCTAACCGATTCTATTTATGCTTGCTTAAAATATATTGTTCTCTATAATATACTGGTATAACAAAATTATATTGTTATCCACAATTGATGAATCGTTTTTTGTCGCTTTCCTTAGCAAACGAAAGTCTCATTCCTCTTATACTTTCGTGCACGATAATTCAAGAAGTAACAAAGCTAACTCGATAAGTTTTTAACTATTTGTTTTGGATAGATCGTAAAATTTTTATATTAATAGCATGCCAAACGTTTAATACCGCGAAAGTTTTATTGTTGTAGGTTCATCTCCGAGGCAAAAATGCATGTTTTACAACTAAATAAAAGCAATTCCGTTGGGTGTGTGTGGTGTTCGTTACTATGTTGACTGTACGTTCATACAACTCTTCTTCTGCTCAGAATAACTTGCTTAGTAATATAGGAAGCCTAAAGTTTAATGTTATTCAATTTCAAATTTTAGCCAAAATGAACAAATTCATCATCTGCTTCTGTTTTGTACTTTTCGTTGTTTCGGCGGAGCGCTAGTGCTCGCGGCAGCTTGGGAGAAATGCACTCAAAGGTAGGTCATTATGATACAAAACTGCTATTATTTGAAGCTTTTTTATTGGGCTAGTCAGCCCAAACACATTTCCTAAATATATTTTGTTCTGAGGTTAATCCATTTGTTTTCAATATTTGTATGTTGTGATGCAACGTGAAGGTAATCTCCAAAATGAATGCACGGCAAATTGGGGATTATGTGTCTCATACGCCTATGAATGCTACGAATTAGAACCACCACGACAATCCTGTGTGTACGCATGTCAAGCAACAGCATTGCTGTTGCAAGTACTGTAAATCTTTTTTTCTAGCCAACTTTAATGTAAAAATTGTCGCATTATTTTTGAGAACAGTGAAAGCAAACATTATTTAGCAAAATATCAACCCACGAGCATAAATGCACGAAATAATATCCGTTGCTGCCATCATAACCTACGCCCGCATTTTAGTATCCACAGCGGATTTGAGAGATTGAAGCGATTTAAGAATAGCCCCCAAAATGATATACCTTGTTGATTGTTGATTAAAAATATTTTCAACTGCAAGAAAAAGAAAGAAATTGAATGCCTTGGATCTTATCCATTAGACGGCCATCAGTGTCGTGTTGCAGTTTTTTCCCGTAGACAGTCGGGCTCATCTTTGATTCGCGCCCAAGCTTTCACGCATTATTAATAATATTCACTACATGCACATGCGGAACACAGCGAGTCCCCATTATCCACGATTACACGTTAGTTGACACGATCTCCTTCTCTCCATAAAAGATGGATGGTCTTCTTCGCGGTGTTGTAAAATGTTGGATTATTTTGTTTATCTCGAATAATACTGGAGTACATTTAACACAATTGTCTTTTGTTCTCGCTAAGCAAACAATGTATATAAACAATGGCTGACTATAAACGTTACAACAACGTGTCTGATGCAGTAGCGTAGCCAGCCTGTTGATTTGTACCGCTATGCTAACATTTTAGTGTTCACTGACTGTGAAAACAATAGATTTCTAAAGACATGAATAATTATAATAACTCGAAATTTACATAGCGGGACAAAATCGTCAGGCTGGCTACGCCACTGGTCTGATGATGTCTATATATTACTCTGATCATTAAATAAAGTCCATCTTAAAGTCCAGATGGATTATTAAATAAAGTCCATCAATCAATCAATCAAACTAGTGCACTAATTTGTATGACACAAGAAAACTGCTAGAAATAACCACTTTGTAATGCAAATTAGTGTACTAGCGTTGGATCCACCCCTGATGGTATTGGTATGGATTACCTCATATGGTGGTATATTCTAAAAAAATTACTAATAAAATTCACTTGTTACATATTGTTGGCACTAATTATATGTAAAAGGTCGTCACATGAATGTGTACGTTAATGTGTAAGTAAAGCCAGTTTTTCACTAGCGATATTTTTCGCGCGAAGCGAATTTATTCCTTTGTATTTGAGTAATAGACCTTTTCAGCTTGCATGCAAATAACCCATTTCAGATGTTGTGACCATGTAATAGCGAATAAAACTTAACTATCTTTCTAGCGACCCATTGTATTGATAGCCGCCATCTTCGTGTTGCCGTCCTATATGCTTAAAAGTCCCTAACGTGCTTGCCACACGCAGATACATGTACGCTTAGCGTACCTATTTTTATAGTCGCGACAGGATATCAGTCTTGCATTGTAGTGGTTTGAATTTAACTTTGTGCACAACCTATCACATTTTGTGATCTCCAATGCTTGTAGGAATGACTACTTGCACCAAGTTCACAGGTTTGTTTGTTAAAATGATATCGATTAGCGATTTAGTACTTTCTGTGATTCTTGTGGGCTGCGTAATCATTTGTTTAAGGCGATGCACTTTAAAATTAATATTCACTTAAGATCTTTATTGTCATTATTGTCAAGAAAATTTGCATTCATGTCCCCAAGGACTATGGTTTCCTTTGATTCACTCATTGCTTTTATTAGCATACTATTAAACAATTCGTTAAAATCTTTGGCCAGGTGCTTAGATGAATCACTGGGCGGTAAAGCGACGCAATCAAAATATCTTTCGAACATTTAGGGCATATTTCAAACCAAACAACTTCAATTTTTTCGTTTTCCAAATCTAGCCTACGATCCCAAATAAGACCATCCGATAAGTAGGCGCCAACACCACCCCTTTCCCAGATTTTCTTGGTCGACTGATGAATGAGTACCCGGGAATATCGTAATATGAGTCAGGTTCGAGTCCGTCTTGCTCATCAATATGCGTTTCACTCAAAGTCAAAACGTCTATTTCTTTGAAGCACTGGAATAGCTCTGAGACATACGCAAAGTTAGGGGCTGTTTACATGAGCCCGGTTACCCGAGATTCAACGAAGCGTGAGAGGACTTTGAGGTATTGAAATAAGTTTTTATGACACCAAACAAGCACATGCTATTGTTGTGGTGATTATACGACTGCCAAGCTCATTTTATCTGTTCATTTTAATACCCCAAAATCATCTCACGCTTCGTTGAATCTCGGGTAACCGGGCTCATGTAAACAGCCCCTTAGTTGGATTAGGATTCGGTCTCTAAGAAAACTGTTTTGAATCAATGTCTTCTTCACCTTTGAAGGTCGTTTTTATTGCTGCTTTAAATATTTCAGTGCTTCCTTTCACGCTAAAGATTTTATATTCACCTATTGGGAGCGGAACAATACTTTCAACTCGTTTTAAAAGCTCTTGCGTACTTTCTGAAACTGTATGCGCTTTCCATTAAGAGGCCAAAATGGTCAGACCGGTTATATTCTAAATTGAAATAGAGTATTTCGTTAAGAATATAGCGATAAAACTATATTTCCCGTTCTAGGCAGATGTAAATAACGATATACGTGAATGCAGAGTTCTTGAAACACTTTAAAATCACCAGTAATTTGTCTGTACCGAAATACAACAGGACCGGTCAGGCGTTTTTTCCGTATAAAGGAAAACGTACTGTGAAAGTATTTTGTAGATGTTTTATGTTGACATTTATACTCATTAACATTGATAATTCAAGTTTATATTGTTAGCATAAATTATAGAGAACGTCAAAGTAATATATAGAGATCATCAGACACGTTGTTGTAACGTTTATAGTCAGCCATTGTTTATTATATCGTTTGCTTAGCGAGAACAAAATTAAAGACAATTGTGTTAAATATACTCCATTATTATTCAAAATAAAGCAAATAATCTTACATTTTACAACACCGCGAAGAAGACTATCCATCTTTTATCGAGAGAAGGAGAACGTGTCAACTAACGTGTAATCATGGACAGTGGCGTAACTAGAACGATAATTGGGGGGGGGGGTAAATATTCATATATTCAGTTCTGCCCGACGGATTTCTATTGTAAGCTATTGCAATTACAAAAGAAATCCGTGGGGCAGAACTGGATATATGAATATTCATCTCCCCCCCCCAATTATCGTTCTAGTTACGTCACTGAATTCATGGATAACGGGGACACACTGTGTTCCGCATGTGCATGTAGGGAATATTATTTATAATGCGTGAAAGCCTGGGCGAGAATCAAAGATGAGCCCAACTGTCTACGGGAAAAAACTGTAGCGCGACACTGATGGCCTTCTAATATTGAAATCCAAGGATTTAATTTCTTTCTTTTTCTTGAGTTGATTATATTATTTTCAAATTCGTCAATTGTAGCTACAGTGAAGTGATGAAATGCTTACCGGCACCGCATGCCATGCATGCAACAATCTAAGGTACGGGTCTTTTATTTAATAATAAAATCACTCCAACAGGAGTATTGAAAAAAAGGCCTTCATAATGTGAATTGAGTTAAGCAAAAAGATAGAGACATTTTATTCCACGGATTTTATTGCAATACTAACATTATTCCACATAATTTTATCCAAGCCCTGTTGACTAACTAATCTCTTTGCCTGCGTATCCGTGACTTCACCACCTGGAAAACAGAATTAATACAAGACGGTTTCTTAGTATGCCTTGCACATTCAACAAGATATATCATCATTTTGGGGGCTATTCTTAAATCGCTTCAATCTCTCAAATCCGCTGTGGATACTAAAATGCGAGTGTAGGTTATGATGGCAGCAATGGATATTATTTCGTGCATTTCTGCCGGTGGGTTGATATTTTGCAAAAAAATGTTTGCTTTCACTGTTCTCAGAAATAATGCGACAATTTTTACATTAAAGTTGGCTAGAAAAAATAATTTACAGCACCTGCAACAACAATGCTGTCCCCCAGGACATGGGTGCCCACAGGATTGTCGTGGTGGTTCTAATTCGTAGCATTCATATGCGTTTGGGACACATATTCCCCCAAATTGGAAGCACACATCTTGAAGATTACCTTCACGTTGCATCACAACATACAAATATTGAAAAAAAATGGATTAACCTCAAAACAAAGTATATTAAGGGAATGTGTTTGGGCTGACTGGCCCAATAAAAAAGCTTCAAATAATAGCAGTTTTGTATCATAATGACCTACCTTTGAGTGCATTTCTTCCAAGCTGCCGAGCACTAGCGCTCGAAACAACGAAAAGTACAAAACAGAAGCAGATGATGAATTTGTTCATTTTGCGCTAAATTAAAAAAAAGTAGTTCAAGCATTTTGTTGTAAGATTATCTGAAAGATTTTTTGAAATTTTTCCTTTGACTTTGGATAAGATTAAACTTTAGCCTTCTTATATTACTAAGCAATTTATTCTGAGCAGAAGAAGAGTTGTATGAATGTGCAGTCAACATAGTAACGAACACCACACACACACCCAACGGAATTGCTTTTATTTAGTTGTAAATATTTTAGCCTCGGAGCTGATCCCCTCTAATTTTTAAAACAGGATAACTCGTGATTTTTAGTGTGGTAGACCACCTTAGCAGCAGAAATATGTGCACTTCAATAAAATAAATCCTTACTGAACTTCCAATCGAAAAATGCAAAAAAAAATAGTTAAAAATTTATCGAGTTAGCTTTATTACTTCTTGAATTATCGTGCACGAAAGTAAAAGCGAATGAGAATTTTCGCATTTGCTAAGAAAAGCGACAAGTTAGCTCAGTTATGTTAATAAGTAAATGGGTCGCAAAGCACCAACCTGTATGAACAAGCTTTGTGATTTATCATTCCTAACAATAAACGACAATGGACTATGGAAATTCCATTTTTCATTTTCTATATTTACATTGATACTAATGGCATTTGTAGTAACTGCCGCAAGCATGAAACGATGTTGGCGAATAGGTTTAAAATCGACTGTATGAGGAAGGAATTAGAACACGGTGATAACGACCTTTCTTCATGCAAATAACGCAATAAGAAATCGAGCGTCCAAAACTCCAGTAAAATATCGTAAAAGAAAGAGTCAGCAACGAAGTATATAACAAACTTACTATATAGCTGCTACTTACGTTTTGCAACAGTTCAATCTTATAATCTTTCGAATTGATTATTAATCTTGAAGCTTTTGAAGATTCAGGTTCATCAGTTGTGAGCAATGAAATGATTTCACTGGCTTTTATAATAACCAGGTAGATATCGGACTGCCTTTGTTTACATCTCAAGTACTTTTGCTGTCATAAGGAAAAAAATGCAATTGATCTTATCTGTCTTATGTTATGACGTATATGCTCTATATGTGTGTATGCCCTGTCGTGTATGTCATATGTCGTATATGCCCAGTTCAATCAAAGGGAATGTAACCGAACTCGCTTGTATGCATTATGGACTGCCTTTGTTTACCTCAAAGGAAGAACAAATGCAAAATAGCAGATATTTTGCTTCGATCCAGACTGAGGGCAAAAAAAATTCCCGAGAAAATAAGATTAAACGAGAAATGTAGCAATGCAAGTGATTTGTATTTAATTTTCCCAGTAATAATAAATGAACATCATTCGTAACCACCCGAAATATTGCACTACCATATTGTATGATACCTTATATTGCACGAGCCTGATAATAGCGAAACCCTAATTTTTAACCCTAAAATTTTCTTTTTCAATTAACTAGCAATAAGTATATATAATCATTGCTTTTACACGTATACGACGAAGGAATACGCATGTATATATAATACCATACGGCAAAAACAATTTTTCAGCTCTGAAACTAGCCTACATTTATAATCATTTCGATCTTTTTCCATGTAATGAATGATTAGGTAATTCGACGACCCATATAATTTCATTGCATTCTTCAGCATCCTTATACTAAACCATAATGTTTCTATTTCTTTCCATTTCATTTTCAAACTGCTCTCTCCTAAAAATGTAATCGTTTAAACAGCTAGTAGCTATCAAAGTGTGTGCGTATGAAGTTATAGATGCTAAAATTTGAGCAAATAAATAAATGAAAAAATATTACAATCTTTTCAGAGGAATATTTTTTATGTTTTCATTCGCGAACAGGAACATACACAACTGAACATACATGACGTTGTCTAGTGTGTTGCAAAATGGTGATGGATTTAGCCACGCAAAAACTGACAGATGTTGTAAATTCAATACGACAGGAGAACTGTAACGTTTTGGTATAGAGTCTGCACCTCATTAAGCAGCAGTCGGTCAATTCCAGTATAATGTATAAGTTATTTAATTGATTTTATCCACTCAAACGAAGGTTAATATAACCTAACTTGTTCGGTGGTAAGCTAAATATCTTGTTATTTTACATTTATTCTTCCCATGATAATAGGAACAAATGGTGATTATAATTTGTTATCTGGATTCGGCATTCGGTGGTTCGGCATTTTCGAATATCCGACAGACGGAATTGATTCATTTCTTTACTCAGGATACGATGTCACCGAACGTTCTGACATGAACAAAGGCAGTCTGATATTTGCTATCTTGATTAAATGATACACGCGAATTCGTCTATGTTTCCCAATCATCATGCTCACTTACGAATTTTCAAGGTACAAAGAATAAAATCAATTTATATTGCTCACATCTAATAACCCTGTAGCAATAAAAGCCTCCTGAAAGATTGACAATTAAAACAAAAGACCAATACTCAACTTTTAGATCGTGTAAGTAACATAATTGATGATAGCCTATACTGCACTTCGGGGTATGACGGAGTGCAGGTTGAAGAGGTGCAGACGATCTGCACGAAATCAAAATAGTCATAGTCCTAGATTATCGAATGGCATTTTTTGAACTCCTTCTTCTTACGGGTAGAACCAACATTGCATTTTTCCAACAAGAAGTGCTGCTATTTATCACCTAATTCTTTCCCTGTTACCCAGTAGAGTCGCCAGCCTTGTTTCTGAATACATAGTGATTTAATGTTTAATGTCGAAGTAATCTACATGAAAAAAATAATTTTTGAAGTTCGAAGTAAAATAAGATATGCCTTTGACTTGTCTTCATGCCTGGATTGATGTTATAGAATTGATTATCAAACCTTGCATGTAAATATACGTCATCGTTTTGACGCGTTTTCATCGCTTATAATAATAGGGACCTTAAGCATGTAGGACGGCAACACGACGACGACACGGCTGAAATTCTCCTTTAAATAAATGCTATGGCAAAGTTGTTGTTTTATATTATTAATCGTACCAATTCAGTGAGATATAAGGCGTTAAAAACATTGTGTTTATGTTTAAGGACAATTCTATAGAGCCTAATTCGAGGTAGGGCTCCCTGGGTCCTGAAATGCAACCGTTCTAGGCAAGACGTAAAAAACGACGTTTTCCCATTGTAAACAGAACGAAAACGACGTCTAAAACCATCATGGGTCTTTAATTATTCATCTATTTTCAATGACCCATTGTATTGATAGCCGTCGTCGTCCCGTTCGCGTTCTACATGCTTAAGGTCCCTAATAGCTTGACCACGGTGGGAATTGAACCCGCGCAAACGAAAGGTCGCGGTTTCGATTCCCTCGTGGTAAGGTTAATTCTTTCCGGTTAAGATGTATGACATATGTATGAAATATTCTAATGTATGAAATATCTGATTGATGTATCTGCATGTTATTTTCCGACGTCGGATTTGAGGTTTGTTCCAGATCACTTGATTGACAGTCCGTAAGAGGTCGAGTTTTTGCTTTTATCAGCAATTTACATGTATTTGAATAAGGCGGCCGGTCTCTCGAAGGTATAGCAGTGAACAAGGTTTAACTTTTTGGTTTGTTTTGCCATAATTTAGCAAAATGTTATGTGATATAAAGCATTATCAAATATATTGTTACTCTTATATTAAGAATTATAGAGAATTTTTAATTCTGAAATTTTTCCTCTTTACAATAAATGCGCATGCGTAAATTATTCTCTTCCTTTCGTCTGTCGCACTATCAGCACTGATATTATTTCATCATCTAATCACTCAATGTGAAAATTTTTAAACGAGAATATTAAGTTAATTGAAAGAAAATAAATATTGATAACCGAATTACATACGGGTGCAACGAGCAATTTTACATGGTCACTGTTCTGAGTTACAAAATTGGTTTACGGTACTGTCATTTTCTCCAGTTCACGCTTACTTTCGTTAGTAGAATGTCGAAATGTTGTCCAGCTCACTGCAACAACTAATAATTTAGAGTATAGTTGCCGGCAACTTGGGCGACAGATTACGTTTTTTAGTTGTCAAAGAAAATGTTCAGCAAGTTACCACCTGTTTTGAACGTTGTAAGTCCTAAAATGTTCCAAAATAAGTGTAAGAAGTCCATCGAAAGCCATGTTATCGGTCGTCATAACCGCGAAGAGCTGTACAATTTCGCTGGCTTCGCCTTCTGCCTCGGCTTCGCCATTTACTTGGTGCAACGAGCAATTTTACATGGTCACTGTTCTGAGTTACAAAATTGGTTTACGGTACTGTCATTTTCTCCAGTTTTCGCTTACTTTCGTTAGTAGAATGTCAAAATGTTGTCCAGCTCACTGCAACAACTAATAATTTAGAGTATAGTTGCCGGCAACTTGGGCGACAGATTACGTTTTTTAGTTGTCAATAACTTTTAGTTGGCGATCACAAATAGTTGTCGACAACTAAATCCCTACTCTGTGGAGGCCCTGAAACTGCGAATTAATGCGTACAAGCGAGTTCGGTGACATACCCTTTGATTGAACTGGGCATGCAATATGCGACATATGACATAGACGACAGGGCATACACACATATAGGGCATATACGTCATAACATAAGACAAATAAGATCAATTACATTTTTTTCCTTATGACAGCAAAGGTACTTATGATGTAAACAAAGGCAGTCCGATATCTACCTGGTTATTATAAAAGCCAGCGAAATCATTTCATTGCTCACAACTGATGAACCTGAATCATTAAAAGCTTCAACATTTATAATCAATTCGAAAGACTAAGATTGAACTGTTGCAAAACGTAAGTAGCATGCAGCTATAGTAATTTTGTTATACTTCGTTGCTGACTCTCTTTTTTTACCATAGCTATATACTGGAGTTTGGGACGTTCAATTTTTTATCGCGTTATTTGCATGAAGAGAGGTTTTGATCACCGTCTTTTAATTCCTTCATAATACAGTCGATTTGAAACGCGTTCGCCTAGATCGTTTCATGTTTACAGTGGTTAATACAAATGCCGTTAGTATCAATGTGACCAGGATTAACCCAACGTTATACGTGTTCAAACTAGTGCAAGCTCACTTGCTTATTGGTCGAAACGACAACTCATAAATTTCGTCAACCATGGGTATACGATAATCACATGGCGTTTGCAACGAAATCTTTTCGATAGGCACTTTTGGTTAAATATAGCAACATTTGGAAGAGCTTAATCTGAAAAAACTTCCAAGTATAATATACTCGCGCATTCACATGGTTCATTTCTACATTTGTGCTGACATATCTTTCTTCTATCAATTCTTTGCCTGCACTTAACACATGCAAGTGTATGCACAAAGAATAAAATGTTACCAAGATTTGCTGACGAGCGGTTGCAAATACATGTAAATCATTTGCCATATACGCGGTTGAAATGATTTAAAAAGCACTGTATAGTATGTGGATAAATATAGAAAATGGAATTTCCATAGTCCATTGTCGTTCATTGTTAGGAATGATAAATCAGAAAGCTTGTTCATACAGATTGGTGCTTGGCGACCCATTTACTTATTAACATAATTGAGCATGTTAACTTGCAGCATTATATTGCTAGGTTTCTATATCTAAGTTTACAGCATTTTTAACGTAAATGCATGAAAGTCATAGTTAGCATTACATAGTTTAATGGTGCAGAATATTACTGACGACAGTCTGACGTATATAAAATTTAGTCTGACGTATATAAAATTTAGTCGGTCAGTCCACACTTTAGATGGCCTGGTTTATTTGTGCTTTAATCATCAATGATTTCCATTAGATTCTTGACTTTAACACATTTTTCGACTGGAAGTTTAAGGATTTATTTTATCGAAATGCTATTAGCTAATGCACATATTTCTGCTGCTAAGGTGGTCTACCAAACTAAAAATCACGAGTTATCCTGTTTAAAAAATTACAAGGGACGCAGTTTTAAATGTCCCCCTAACCGATTCTGTATATGTTTCTTTAAAATATATTGTTCTCTATAATATATAACAAAATTATATTGTTATCTATAATTGATGAGTGTATGCAAAACGTTTTTGTCACTTTTCTTAGCAAACGAAAATTCTCATTCCCTTACTTTCGTGCACGATAATTTAAGAAGTAATAAAGCTAAATCGATAAATTTTTAACTATTTGTTTTGGATAGATCGTAAAAGTTTTATATTAATAGCATGCCAAACGTTTAATACTGCGAAAGTTGTATTGTTGTAGGTTCAGCTCCGAGGTAAAAATATTTACAACTAAATAAAACCAATTCTGTTGGGTGTGTGTGGTGTTCGTTACTATGTTGATTGCACATTCAGACAACTCTTCTTCTGCTCAGAATAACTTGCTTAGTAATATAGGAAGCCTAAAGTTTAATCTTATCCAATGTCCGGCAAAGGAAAAAAAATTCAAATAATTTTCAAATAATTTTGCAGATAATCTCACAAAAAATGCTTAAACTACATTTTTTTAATTTAGCGCAAAATGAACAAATTCATCATCTGCTTCTGTTTTGTACTTTTCGTTTTTTCGAGCGCTAGTGCTAGTAAGCTTGGAAGAAATGCACTCAAAGGTAGGTCATTATGATACAAAACTGCTATTATTTGAAGCTTTTTTATTTTATTACCTGTCAGCCCAAACACATTTCCTTAATATACTTTGTTTTGAGGTTAATCCATTTTTTTTCAATATTTGTATGTTGTGATGCAACGTGAAGGTAATCTCCAAGATGTATGCTTCCAATTTGGGGGAATATGTGTCTCAAACGCATACGAATGCTACGAATTAGAACCACCACGACAATCCTGTGGGCACCCATGTCCTGGGGGACAGCATTGTTGTTGCAGGTGCTGTAAATTATTTTTTCTAGCCAACTTTAATGTAAAAATTGTCGCATTATTTCTGAGAACAGTGAAAGCAAACATTTTTTTGTAAAATATCAACTCACCGGCAGAAATGCACGAAATAATATCCGTTGCTGCCATCATAACCTACACTCGCATTTTAGTATCCACAGCGGATTTGAGAGATTGAAGCGATTTAAGAATAGCCCCCAAAATGATGATATATCTTGTTGAATGTGCAAGGCATGCTAAGGAACCGTCTTGTATTAATTCTGTTTTCCAGGTGGTGAAGTCTCAGATACGCAGGCAAAGAGATTAGTTAGTCAACAGGGCTTGGATAAAATTATGTGGAATAATGTTAGTATTGCAATAAAATCCGTGGAATAAAATGTCTCTATATTTTTGCTTATTTCAATTCACATTATGAGGGCCTTTTTTTAAATACTCCTGTTGGAGTTATTTTGTTATTAAATCAGTAAAAGACCCGTAATCTCAGATTGTTGCATGCATGGCATGCGGTGCCGGTGAGCTTTTTTTCACTTCACTGTAGCTACAATTGACAAATTTGAAAAAAAAATGATCAACTGCTAGGAAACGACAGAAATTAAATGCCTTGGATTTCATCCATTTGACAGCCATCATTGTCGCGCTGCAGTTTTTTTCCCGTAGACAATCGGGCTCATCTTTGATTCCCGCCTAGGCTTTCACGCATTATAAATAATATTCCCTACATGCACATGCGGAACTATACAATTACTTAATGGTTTCCGTGTTTAAATGGCGTGGTCCAAACACGCGAGAATGTTGCGAGAGTTTTTTTTTAATTTAGCGCAAAATGAACAAATTCATCATCTGCTTCTGTTTTGTACTTTTCGTTGTTTCGAGCGCTAGTGCTCGGCAGCTTGGAAGAAATGCACTCAAAGGTAGGTCATTATGATACAAAACTGCTATTATTTGAAGCTTTTTTATTGGGCCAGTCAGCCCAAACACATTCCCTTAAAATACTTTGTTTTGAGGTTAATCCATTTGTTTTCAATATTTGTATGTTGTGATGCAACGTGAAGGTAATCTCCAAGATGTATGCTTCCAATTTGGGGGAATATGCGTCCCAAACGCATATGAATGCTACGAATTAGAACCACCACGACAATCCTGTGGGCACCCATGTCCTGGGGGACAGCATTGTTGCTGCAGGTACTGTAGCTAAATCTTTTTTTCTAGCCAACTTTAATGTAAAAATTGTTTCGCATTATTTTTGAGAACAGTGAAAGCAAACATTTTTTTTAGCAAAATAAAAACTCACCGGCAGAAATGCACGAAATAATATCCGTTGCTGCCATCATAACCTACACTCGCATTTTAGTATCCACAGCAGATTTGAGAGATTGAAGCGATTTAAGAATAGCCCCCAAAATGATGATATATCTTGTTGAATGTGCAAGGCATGCTAAGGAACCGTCTTGTATATAATCAACTGCAAGTAAACGACAGAAATTAAATGCCTTGGATTTCAATATTAGACGGCCATCAGTGTCGCGCTGCAGTTTTTTCCCGTAGGCAGTCGGGCTCATCTTTGATTCACGATAATATTCCCTACATGCACATGCGGAACGCAGCGTGTCACCGTTATCCATGATTACACGTTAGTTGACACGATCTCATTCTCTCAATAAAAAATTGATGGTCTTCTTCGCTAGGCCCCTTTAGAAATGCCCGTCAAAAATATGTCTTCCTGTGGTTAGTAAGTAGATTCAGTGGCGTAGCCAGCCTGTAGATTTTGTCCCGCTATGTAAATTTCGAGTTATTATAATTATTCATGTGTTTAGAAATTTATTGTTTTCACAGTCAGTGAACACTAAAATATTAGCATAGTGGGACAAATCGACAGGCTGGCTACGCTACTGAGTAGATTACAGTAGTAGTAAAAAGAACAACACTCCATTTAACTGCCAGCACTCTATCTTTTCCTGACAAGTAAAATCTTCATGCATTATAGACAGTGTAAATACTAAAATTAGGTACAATGTAACTAAATGAGTTAATGGCTTCTGGGTATCGTCATTTTTTTTTTAAAACAGTAATAACAAGTATGGAACTTTTTATAACATCTATTTGCTTGAAGATGCACATGAACAATATTTGAAAATGAATGCAACTATATAGCACGCAATGCACTGGGTTGGATAACCCTTGAATAGTGTAGAGCTCAAATAAAATCCAGACTTATGTTTAAAACGAATAATAATCTAGATCCTCGAAGATTGAGAGATCTGTTTCAACATTCTAATACGATGCATGATTATGATTTAGCCCAGGACGGATTGGTTCAAAAAAGTTTTAGCTACAACGGTGCTTATGTCTGGAACCAAATTCCGGAGGACATAAGAACGTTGTCATCTTATAATTCATTTTGTGAAAAGCCTTCTTCCTCGACCTTTCCATTTATAAATCCTCTTGTGTAAATTAATTTTTAAAAGTACACTTTTTCTCTATTAATCTCATATATATAGTTTACACTTTCATGTTTATATTATATGTTTATAAGTGTTGTACGTATATTGTAGATAGATTAAGGGGGTGGGTGGGATTTCATTTTCTAAAGTAGTGCACACCTCTTTTGAAAACCAGCTTTATTGTTGCAAAGATTTTGTGTGTGTAAAATAAAGTTTGAATGAATGAATGAAATGCATTTGGCCAAAGTCGAGCTTTCGCCACAAATTTCGGACAAAGCCGGAGCGATGAATCCGACGGATAAGTAGTTTAATTTAGTTGCGAATGGATTAAATTTATGCCACGGGTGCGTGCTTCAAATCAGACGGCTAGACTTTACAGAAGTTGCCTGTCGTTGTTTCAAAAGCTAGAAGAAGGTTAGAACTATAAGGATATTCTCATAAGCTTTCTCTCGAATTGCCATCTTTCAGCTTTTATAAAAACTCGTCGTAAAGCTAGTAAATCGAACTTTTACAAAGCCTGCAGTCGTCCGTGCCGCTGACCAGTCAACTTTGCGAAAAAAAATAGCCAACTTTACGGAGCTATTGCGAGCAAAATAAATGAAATAAAATTCTCATTTTCGGCCATGCTTTTAACAATATAACAAAGAAAAATAGCCTTTTTAAATTTTTCGATTTCAATAAAAAGCGGAGCGGCCACATCGGTTTGTATAAAAATTAGCCACTCCAGCTGTCACAGTGATTTGGGTTTCCCCGGGAAATCTGTTTCCCTCGGAATAAAATCCCCCTTTGATAGCGGAACATAAGCCCCATGCATTACCCGCAGAATTTCCATAACAAATAAAAATGGCGGCCGTGTGAAGAGCGATAGTATGTATTTTATATAACTTATGGTATATTTGTGTATGTTTTGAAATTATTTGATGAAAATTTGAATAATGTAAACCATTCAGTTTTACAATACCAATTTTGATTTTATTTAGTTTTTCAGTTTTAGTGTAAAAACCAGGCCAGTAATACCGTTCTTTGATTTTAAAAATAGTGTTGTCCCGTCCTGCGTGACCGCCAAACGGAGAGTCATGGCATTCTTTGAATATTCTGTTCTTTTCTTCGGCCCCTCGTATGACAATCCGTTTTTTATCTTTTTGGGCAACATAATATATAGTGTTTGTTACTCGATCATATTCAAATTTTTTTGCCGTTCGTTTTAACACATATTTTTCTTGCTCACTTGCCCCAGCAGGAAATTGCCCCTCGATAAGAAATTTTTTCAGTTCGTCGTATTTTTGTTCATTCATGATCGTAAATTTGCATGACGCTAACGCTTAAACAGGCATATCAAAAGTTAAAAGCTTTAAACTTGGCGCAAAAGCCCGCACTTTTTAGAGAAAACAAGGGAAATTCTGCCGGTAATGCATGGGGCTTATGTTCCGCTATCAAAGGACAAAGGGGCATTTTATTCCGAAGGAAACAGATTTCACGGGGAAACCCAAATCACTGTGACACCGGTTTGTAACGGTTTTCTCTATTTCAAAATTGAAACGGCCAATGAACGACCAATCAAATATCATTGCTGATTTCGATTATCCCAGAGCCTTTGTTTTCTCGCCAGAGGAGTCGCGGGCTCGGGGAACGACATTGGAATTTTTGCAAATTCTAGGAAATCTAGGGAATTTCAATTTCATTCAGTGGAAAGTGAAACTCTCTGCCCTCTGGTGAAAACCGTTGATCTCCAGTATTGAATTTTTAAAATTCACCACGTTTTCAAAACCGTTTTTCCATACGGATAAATCCATAATTGTATCAAATAAGGTAAGATGCAAGCAAATTCTAATGTTTTTAATCGAGGCGAGATAATTCGAGTATTAAAATTCAATTCAAAAGAAAATAACAAAAATCTTACATCAAGGCAAGGACATGGTGTTAGTTGTTCTGGGAGGGAAACGAATAAAATACAAATCCATTAATCCAATGCGTCATCCTAGACATGCCGACATTGACATTGTGCCTTGACAATGAGTATAGTTTAGTTTAGTTTAGTTTAGTTTGCATGTGCATGATAGTACTAGTGCTTCGCCAATCCCAACTATATATATACTATTATTAATTCTCAGTACTTTACCATTGATTGACCCGTAATATATATATACATATATGATATATATTCGTTTACAAAATGTGCTTTATGTGGAAATTGCTCAAAAATTGAGATCACCCTGTCTACACAGTAATTCAGGGGAATTTTGTGATGGGTGATAGTTGGGATTCCCCAAAGAATTCTGAATTCTCCCCCCCCCCAACCAATATCAATTGTGGAACAGCTAGCATATCCCCCCAAATTGAGCATGCCTCCCATGTCATAGGTTGACATTGTTAAAATGACCTCAGATTTTGTGAGTACCAAAGCAGAAAATGTTCCCCAAATTAATACTGATTTTTTCTACCATTCCAAAAATTGCTTGAAAAGTGATAAAATCTCACCTTTGGAACCAACAATTATTAAAGAGGTCCTTCTTTTAGAAATACGAAGATTTAATTAAAGTTATAGCAAACAACAGGCGATTTTAAAGCGATTGAAAAAATCACAATCTGGTGAATAGATAAAGCCCGACTTTTATACAACCGGCCCCTGAAGTAACCCTGTAGCCGGTTGTATCAAGCCTGTTTAGCTTAAAGTAAAACGGTGGTTAAGTTCAAAATAGAAAGCTCTATTCTATTGTTTTATTCAACATGCAAACTTAATGTTGTTAACCTTAACCAGTTTAGCTTAAATGGTGGGTAGTCAAAATTAAATATCACTCTTAAATCAATCTTGAATGAGTCAACTTGAGTATTATGCACTGAATATATGTAGTTGTAACCAGTATCTTTGTATTAATTATATACACTCAAGTAATTTAACAGATATCAATAAAATAATTCAGTTATTAAGATGGGGTTATAAAAAGTCTATGAAGTCTCAAATTGAAAATGCAATGATCAATTTTATGAATGGTGACTAACCAAGAATAAATTAAATATTAGCCTCAAGTCCAATTACCATAATTTTGCAGCTATGCATGTCTATTAAATATTATAGTGCTATGATAATGTTGAAACGTTATTAGCACAGCTTTAACAGAAGGTGTCACCAGCAACTGTCTTAATAATTTGATATATTTGTACGTATAATATTGTCTAAATTATATATTATATTGTATAAGTTAAACTCTTAATTTGGTTTTGCATATTTATAGTTAAATGGTAGTCTATATAGTCCAGCCTACCAGTAATCATGCCAATTAATTTGACTGCTAGCTTTCCCATTTAGTTTAAATAGTCATGGATTGAATGCATTTTTGACCCAAGTTGAAAAATGTTCAACAGTAATTTGTTTCAATACCTGCATGTTAAAATGAATGATAGCTAGGACAACGGGCAATAGGGTCAAAGAAATAATTTCAGGGGAACAAGTCTTGTTAATTAAGCGAAATGAACATCCCATAAAACTATAAACTACTTATGTAACATGAAAAGATCTAGAGGGCAAACTGATGGGCAGACAACAAAATTAGGGGGGGAGGTGCTGCCATGCAGGTCCACCATAACTATAGATCAACATTCATCACAGATAGAAAATACAGGGAACCAGCTTGTTTTATTATGATTAGATTTCCGACATTTACAAGCTTGAGTCCCTCCTGCAGTCCACCCTATGATTCCTACCACTACAATTAGCCATCTTTACCTTTCTTGTTGAAAAATTGCTTATAATAATTATACCTAACTATGAATAAGAATTCGATTTGGAGGAATAACCCATGAGTTACCCATCTATTCATCAGCTAAATCACTGAACAAAAACCAAAACGAATGTATTTATAGTTTTTAAATATAATTACAAAGTTCATTACTTTAAAATAAAAAAAAATTGTAGCAAAAGTACTTTTTACATGTAAGCAAGATTTAATAAAACTATATATCTATGGAAATAAAGAGAGCCATCGCCCGACAACGTAGGTTTTTACCTCGAAATAATTTTAGGCGATTTTCCCCCCACTTTTCTCGTTGTCTCAGGTACACCAGAGTCACTACATTTCTTTATCTTCGGACCTCTCACTGTGACAGAAACATCTCGCCGCCATTTTGAAAAATCCGCTAATAGGATTACGCAATCCGGGTCGCTTGACCAATCAGAAGCCAGAATTTTTGTAATAATCATCTTTGTAATTATACATGATCACAGCAGTGCACAGATGAGCTATATACACATATGAAACTGAAGCCAAATCGAGTCACACGGTTTTTTGCCCAATGTGCGCATGCGTGACTTGCTTGGTTGATGAGTAAATCGTTAGAAAAATCGAATTTTTGACAAATGCAGATTTAAACAAAACCTTTAGGACGATGTCCCATTTGACATAAAATTTTTAAAAAGATGGATGAAGTGGATCTTCTGAGCTAAGAACTAGTTTATGAAATTATCTGATGCTGGCAAAAACAGGACAAAATATAGCTCAGGAGTGCAGGGCTTGCCGTATGGAAAGCTGTGCAATAATTTAGCACTGGCTGAGCTATTTTTCAGTTAAGACGACATGAATTAAAAAATATTTAGGAATAATAAAAATGTGAAAACGTTTCAGTGAACAACAACAACATGCGAACATGGCATGTAAATACGACAAGCAATTCAGCGTATTTAGAGACTTTAAGCGTTTGGGTATAAAAACAACTTCATCACCCTTTTCACACACACAAAGTTTACAAATTGATGCTTATGCGCGATTATCATGACCATACACGGGTCTTTTTAACGAAACTCTGAAGACAAAAAAAGACACGCCATATTATGTTTTGAGTTTCGGGTGTAAAACTAGCAATCACTCTAATGTACACACATTCTTCGGATAGAAACTTTGAAAAATTCAGATAAATAATATTTACGTGTAAATATGGGACTTCATTGCAAAGAATTCAAAAGTCAATTTCAGCCATAGATATCCTCAATTGCCTTTCCTCAATTAACGAAGGATACATATACCGATATTCTTTAAAACATTATTCCAGAAATATGCATATTTTAAATATTTTAAATATTTTAAATACATAAGAGATGTGTGCGGAGGAGGCTATAAAGCTTTATTATCGAAAATGTTTAACCAACTTCTTACCCATGGTCTTTTCTCTAGGCTCACAATTTTGAACATTTCAGGCACTTGCCAAGCATTAGCAGTTGGCCATTCTTTGCTCACGAGCACTAAAATAAGCGGGTACAAAAAAGGAGTTATTTGCCGTAGCGAATAATAAGTTAATTGCTTGCGTGTATTATTCTTAGTATATTTGTAGTTTTTAGTTTATTGCTGTATAGGGTAGCGCACGCGTCGAGCAATGAAGGGAAACTCGTTTGTAAATTTTAATTGTAAAATTACTATACGCAACCTAGGTCCAGCTCTGTATTTTTTACTTACTCTGTGAAATGATTATACATGTAGGGACACAAACTACATTTGGTGAGAAATGAGTGCTGAAAGTGCTAAAAGTGATGTGGTAAAAAAAAGAAAATTAGATTATCCTGATGGTTAGTATATGACAGAATATTGAAACATCATGAACTTTTCACCATGTTATTAGAAGCTGACATTTTTAATTGAACTTCAATTTAATAGATCAGATAATTTCCGAGGTTGCTCTGAAAAAATTGTATGATGGAACAGTCTATAAAAGTTTGGATGACAAATTACTAGAGGAATATGGTAAAGGTACAGTGTAAAAATATTTGACACAATTTATTTTCCCCAAGCGGGCGCTCGGCTAAGCTCTCCTCCAACCTCATTTATTGCATCTCATGCGACAAATGTGGTTTACTATTATTATATCGGTGAAACTGGAAGATCTCTAAGAGTAAGGTTTGGTGAACACCGTAGCTCGGTCAACAACCACGATAACACCAAGCCTGTTGCCAGACACTTTACCTCTGGTAATCATTGTGTCACGGACACGAGAACTTAAGCCCTCTGTCCCATTTCTGGTACAAACGATAGCCGTGGTACTCCTCATCCCTCCGACATGAATTAAAGACTCTCTTTCATATAAACTTATCCACCCAGAGTAATATGACTTCCGTTTCTTTGTTTACATCAAAGCTGGTTGTAATATATTTTCTTTGCTGATCAGGCTTCCCTTATTGTGGGCTACCCACAATCAGGCGTCTCTTTGGCAGCGTAATGTATTCCAATTTGTTTTGATTTTTTGTTTTCTATTGGCCCATTTTTATCAAGTGTTTTGCCCCCATACAACATGTGTTCTCCCCTATTTATTTTCATACTAACTCTCCTGACGAAGGCCCTCGAAACGTCGAGAAGTTTTTTTGTCTATTTTAGGCAGTTTTTATACCACATTTGGTGCTACAATATAGACTGATTTGAAATTTGAGTTATTTATAAAATACGTTTAGGTCAGGTTAGCACAGGAAATTGTGTACTTGGTGTTCTGATCAGTGATCCCTCGGGATTAGAAGTAGGATAGGAATCCCTTATTCAGAAGTGTAACCAAAACCCTATTTAAGAAACTTCGTTTTTGACAACTTTATTTTAACATGTAATTTTCAAACAATCAGCTTAGGTGAAAAAACCAGTGCTCATAGAGTAAAAAAAAAAGCAACAACTTGTTTTACCCGCTCTTCCCCCCCCCCTGGACGGAGCGAGCAAGCTAATAGAGTCATAGAGAGCTTCATACATCCTGTTGCCTATTACGTTATCGAGGGCATCAATGAATATGCCAAACCGTGAATATAATTTTTCCTTTTCAGAGTGGATACAAAATGGCAATGATGAAATCCACATGATTCCCTGTGTTTTCACAAAGGGATCCAGTGATGATAGAGGAACAAAAGCTGAAGGTGAAATTTATCAAACCTTAAGAAGCCTGAATACAGATAAAAATAAAAAAATTAATGATTATTTTTCAAACGTCAAAATACCTGGCTTTGTTTTTCACGGGCAAAAATACAATGGCCATGAAATTGACTTCCTCTTTATAACAATACATGGCTTGTTGGTAATTGAGTGCAAAGCAGTAGGAAAGGGCAACCGAGCTACAAGTAAGTATAACGAGGCTTGTGGTCAATTGTCCAAGAGAATTCCAACACTGAAAAACGTATTGGAAAGATTTGGTATAGATGTTTCCATAATCCCAATCGTGGGTATCGTTGCGTTCCCGCTTTTATCTCGATGCGATGTTGAGAGGGAAGATGGAAGCCCAGAGGTCCTTTTTAGCGAAGATCTTGCCGTGTTAAAGAATTGGTTGCGACGAAAAATATTCGTTACTGTCAATCCCATAACATTTGAAATTTATCTGAAAATCGTAAAAACGTTTCTCGGGCTGTATCATTGTGGAGAAAAGTTAAGAAACTTTTATGAGTATAAGAAGCGTGGAATATTGGACACAGAAAGAGGTTTAGAAAGCACGTGTGAGTGGTACACCAGAGAGCAAAGAGCATTTTTGAAAAATGATCGCTTTCATAACGTGTGGATTTCTGGTGCAGCTGGAACCGGAAAGACGTTTGTATTAAAACATCGTTTGGAATTTCTTGTATCAGAAATTAGGAAGGAAATGTCTGAAAGTGGTGAGGACATGGTCAAGAAATCAGTGAAGCCAATTCTCGTAATAACTTACAATCGTCCCATCAAGTTGGATATCGAGTACGTAAATCAAGTTGAAAATCATTGTGCAGTGCCCTAAATTACTTGAGCATCGATCTATGCCAGAGTTATTTTTAGGCAATGAGGCCTGAGACTCCCGAGAAAATATTCAAATATGCAGGAATCTAAAGGTTTTGTATTAATTGCATTTTTAGGGACTGGGTAAAGAAAGAGATTAAAGCCAAAGGATCTTCAAACGATCTAGTCCGTCTTCAAACGTTTTCCGCCTTAATGAATCATATATTATACGACGAAGGCGACGAAATAAAAACCACGAAGGTATTGTACCACGTAATTTATTCTTGATATCTTAGTTGCCAATTTGCAGTGGAGTGTACAATGGGCTTTTTACGCAAAATAACCCTATCATACATTGCCAACATCACTATTAGTGGGCCTTCGATGCAACTTCGAAATCACTAATTTTTTGGGGGTAAAGTAAACAGTTATACAACTGAAAAAATACATAGTTGTCATAGTATTCTATTTTTATTTGGTGGCTAACCCTGCAGTAATTATTCATTTTTTGTTGATACTTATATTAGGACGCGGAGAAAGTAACATATATCATGGGAGATGAAAGTATCTTAAAAAAGTACTTTTCCTCTAATTACACAAAAGTATTTCGTAAGTATCAGCATATTCTTGTTGATGAGGCCCAGGACCTTCCGGACAACTGGCTTGACCTGCTGTGCAAGATGTTACATTGTAAGCGAAGTAGCATTTGGGTCTTTAAAGATCCGTACCAAGTGGTTCGGCGAAACATCACAACGGTAACAAATGTCCCCGTTAAGTTTACCCGGCACTGGTTATCGAAAGTAATCAGAAACCCTCGGAACGTATTCGAGGCGTATAAAAAATGCTACGAAAGCTTATGTGAGGCTGGTTCAGAGGAATTGGTTCCACCCAGTATCAACCACCATGTGTATGGTTTAGAACCAAGATATATTGTAGCCAAAGATGACAACAGTATGCTAAGTGAATTGGTTTCAACTATACAAGATTTACTCAAGAAGAGGGTGAACTGTTGTGATATAGCTATCCTTACATGTGGAAACGTTGAAACACGTGACAACATCGAAGCATGCTTACAAAATAACAAAATAAAACATCAAGACGCCGACAAACACACAAGTCAAAACCGATTAACTGTGACGGTTGATAGTTATCAACGATTCAAGGGTCTCGAAGAGAAGATCATAATATTCTGCGTACCAAGTGGATGGGCTCCGCGACTGCGAGACCAAGATGTTTACGTTACGTTATCAAGAGCGCTCTGTCAAGTCATTGTCATTGCTCCAAAAAAAATAGTGGAATATTTGAATCCAATTGACTAGGCAAGAAAACTTAACCAACAATCTTAAGAATAATATTTAGGGATCATGCAGTAGCAGACTTGTAGTCTTTTTCAATCTATATATGTATCTTTAGATCATTTTAACTTGTAAATCAACAACTTGATTTGCCTAGTGTAAATTTGGAACATCATAGTTGTACGAAAAAGCTGAGAAGCAATCAGTTGGTGAATTGGTGCATGTGGGGTTAAGTTTTACCAGGGACAAGGCGACCAATTATTGTAAAAAGGGAAAAATTTCAGAATTAAAAATTCCCTATAATTCTTAAGGGTAACAATATATTTGAAAATGCTTTATATCACATAACATTTTGCTAAATTACGGCAAAACAAACCAAAAAGTTATATAATAAACCAACCATGACCATCTACCTGACTAAACCTGAGCAAGATTCTTTCAATATTTCCCTAAACTTCTTCGAATGATTCTACCTTCTTCGAGAGTATCAAATCTGAGTTCCTTCTCGAATTTAACAACTTCTTATTACCTCAGAAAACATTCCGACGGCAACGGACAATGCACTTTATGCATCTTATACTTATACTTAACAGTATGCCTGTTTGTGTCCATGTTTCTCATGTGTCGAACGTATTAACAACAATAGATAATGAGGCGTCTTAACACCGCGGAAAAACGTCTGCGCAAGCGTCAACTCTGCCTGTGAGTGAGATTAAAAATAATTAAAAAGCGGTTCAGAACGTTACCGAAGGCTAAAAATGACGGCAAAAAGGAGTGATTTCATTCGTGTCTTCAAATCCATATTTCGAGGGCATAAATAAACACTGCATTAAAGAAACTAAGAGAAAAAACGTCCGAAGAATCCCAGAAGTGGCATCCTACAAAAACACCTGTAAAAGGTGACTGTTAACAAATTTTTCGTCTCAAACATTTTGTTTATCAAATAAGCAACGACAGTTTCCGAACTTTTAATTGAGACACGTTTTATTAAAAAAAAATATGTCGCCAGATACGAGACGTTTGCGTGTTCTCAATGATTGAAAATTAACATGTATTTTACAATTTAAATATATTAGAAAGCTTAACTTTTCGCGGGTTTTCTTAACTTTTAGGTTTAAACTTTTGTTTCCGAAAAATATTCTAAAGTCACCCCGTAAATAAAGGAAAATTTACCGTGAATTCCAGTTCGTTCGATACTCTAAATGCTAGAAGGCTTTTAATTTATGTTCTGTCTGGCCGTCTTGTATATTTTTGCCTTTTCTTAACTTATATTTTATCAAATAATGGGCATGTTTTGTTCCAAAAGTTGATATTTAGATTTACCATCATATTTTGATATTTCGGCGCGTGCGCAGACATTTTTCCGCGGTGTTGAGGCATCTTAATTGATTAACATTGTTTTAAATGCGTTCTGACTTCTGCGCATGAGAAAGACGACGTTAGAAACAAACAAACTTCCTATCTCAGGGCAATATGTTTTTCAAATATCTATTGTTCGTTGCAAGTGATTAATAATAAAAGTCAGTGCATGTGACGCGAAACAGCTCCGTTGCTATAGAGGAATATCTTATTCTAACACTGCGGTTGGTTGGTGGTGGTTTTCACTAGCGATATTTTTCGCGCAAATCGACATTTTACTTTTGTTCCAGAGCTCTCAACTGCAACCATCTTAGTGGAGTACATTGCTCAAATACATCGCTTGTTCACAAAGTTGAATATCTTTTTCCATAAATATTTTCGGGTTTTAAAACGGGTTTTAAAACGAACAGCGGTTTAGAAGCACTTAAACCAAAACGGAAACCAAAATTTTACCCTGCAGGGTTAGTGCTAACCCAGCTTTGAACAACTGGCCCACGGAGTATAGACCATGCACATACACATTTCTGGTTTGCATGGTTAGAATTTTTTTCTCATGGCTGGTCAGCCGTCTGACCGAATAAAGGCGCTGGTCAGTCGTCAACCTCCCTTTGATTTGCACCCCAAATTAGAATCTGCTGCCTTGCTCGCTCGTTCGCTTCCTGCACGCTCGCTATATATGGCAGCAATAAGTTCAAAATGTAAACGAATCGTTTGTGTACATTACAGATTGTAATCTGCACCTTCAAAGTGAACTCATTATAAGTAAAATATCACAAATAATACAGAAAGATTGAAAGTTTTGTTATTTCCTACAGATAGATTGTAGGGTATTGCTCTCACTTAGATTGTGAAAATGATGATCAGTTTAGGGCGAATTTTCGACAACGCATTTAGGCATGTGGCCGAAAAATGCGCTCAAGGTGAATATTTTTGAGGGGAAATAATATTAAAGCCAACGCTTCGGAAAAACAAAATACTGGATGGTAGAAAGTGATTTGATTTAATTCAAGTTTCCCTAAAAATGAAAGTCATTTTATAATCGACTTAATTGGCTCTCTACTATTGAGTATTGACTAACCCCCTTAAGCGTCGATTAATGTTTAATATAAATGATAATCGTGGATAAGCTAACTGCATATCGCCTTTTAACTTTAGCACTTTTTACATGCAACTGGGCCGTATATTTCAAGGGTGATTTATGCAGTAAACCATTGGTAATTGTACCTGTGCATGGTGGTAATCTTTAATAAATTATTACGTTTCAATTTTCAATTCGTAAAAAATTATATTTATTATAATGACAGAACCGATTCGATTATATTTTGGGGAGTATATAGCTAGGGTTTCCAATTTTGTACTGCTTGATGTTGATAACTGCATGGATGCATTTGACAGATATCGATCGGAATTAAGTGTAATTAATTTCAATTAAAACGCTAATAAAGCGCGTACAATGTTTCAATGACAATGTTGCGACAATGCTTTTCTATTGTTAGTCCTATACCTATAATGTCATTTCGGCAACGCGTTAGCTCTAGCAATATAATGGTTAGCTAGTATCTAACGCGTTGTTAAAATGACATTATTGGGGAACCTGTTAAAGACAAAAATGTTAAAAATTTGTCATAACAGGACCGAGTTTCTGCCCGTCTTAAATCGAACTCTGCATTTGCAATATGCAAGATGGAAGTTGCTTTAATTTCAAATTTTGTTTCGTGCCTTATAGATGTATTATAACAAGGCAGCCATCTTTAATTGCGAAATTTTGGCGTTATGATAATTAATGTCTTGAATTTCTGGTGATGTATATATTTATAGCATTTCCGGGAAAAACTACTATATTTCGCGCTGACGATCTGTACGTATTGGGTTTTATAATACTGTACTCTGAGAGTAAATTCTGAGAAGAAACCCAAAACAATAGATTTTACAAGACTGTGTAGGTATCAGTTTCAAATTCCAGGAAAGGGTGGGATTATCATGCTTTTCTTTCAGTTTCTTGTTCCTGTTACAGTTCCTGTTTCTGAGAATGTCGCATGAATGAATGCAAGTAATATTCATCCAGAAATAGAAAGGACATGTTCTTTTCAAAGATTGTGATCGTTTAAATTTGTGTCTGAATAACGTATTGCAACATACATAGCTATTGTTATTATTGTTGACATTATTGTTGACATTATATAATTCGGATTACGTTTTAGAGTTAAAATAATTTGCAAGTGTTTATAATGTTAAAAAATAAGTCATGATATGAAAGCCATTTGCACGTAACCGTAATTTGCCACGACCATCAATTGCCGTAGTCATGGTGTTCAGTAGTATTCTGAAGGAATATAAATTATAGGAATTTGGACCGTACAACCTACAGATTTTACCACTATTTTAAATCGTAATCGATTAATCTAAAATACGCACGTGAAACATTATGTTTCTACCTTCTACCACAACACCGGCTCTCTGGAAAGGAAGGTACATGGACAATATACTGGTTTCCAAGAAATATAGAGGCAAAATTTAAGGAAAACTAGAAGTTCGAAATTGGAAACTGATAGCTTATTTACATGATATTAGCAAGTCTGACCTATTTAAAGAACTCGTGATGACCCACACCCCACATTTTAAGTAGGGACAGAATATACGACAGACAAGAGTGTGGGGCGCAGTGATGTTAAAACTAACAAACAAGTAGGTTACATCGTATTCTGGTCAGTCAAATAAAACTCGAAAACAAACTGAAGGGCTTAAAGAGGAACTTTCAGCTTACGGTAAGTTTGGGATATCAATTTTACTGCGAAGCGTGTTCTTTTTGTTTCGTAATTAGTTACCAAATTGGCGATTAATTTTAATAATTGAACTGAAATATTAGAAGTTACATCATTACGATAAAAAGTCAAAACTCTTGTACGAGTCTGCCACTCTTTGTTGGATATTATAATTATTTTGGCATCTGGATTGTCTATCGATTGTCCGAATGCTCTGGGCACGAGAGAAACTCTGTACGTGTTGATACAAGATACCACTGAGATGAGTGTTACCAGCGTAATTTCCTCTTGCCGTGAACATTTTCTCCTATTCGCACACAGTTCAACTAGGCCAAAAGTTTTCTCCTAATCGACCTGACGTTTTGCCCACTTAAACAAACATGCATTATCATGCTGGCATTGACAAAAGACTAGACTTGGGATCCAAGGATAGTGCAAAGCTACACAAATTACATCGGCTATATCCGATATTGTTGCTTATGCTATAGCCAGAGCAATTTTTCAGGCAACATGTATCGTCCCTCGGTTTGGTGAAAACGTATCTTGTCAATATTTGTCTGTACGATTTTTACATATATTTTCTGAGAAAGAATCGCGCAAAAAACGACTGTAAATAAACCGTGGTGCATGTTGTAGGTAATGCATGTGGATGCGTTTATTATTATTTCGATGCGTGAATCGACATAATAAAATACAAATGAATACTAGTTGGAATATACTTGCGTGTAGTATATGTCGTCAAACGCTTAATAAATCGTTGTATAACTGTCTTCTATATGTACTCACTCTAATGCCTCCAAGATTGCCCAGCGGAAGTTCAAATCGAGATTATTCTTGCATTTTAAAACATAAACATCATCACTCCTTTGCTCCCCTCCTATAATAAATATCCTATATAATGAATTTCAGCTTTTCATCCTATCTGTAACAATGCATATACTGTATCAGTGCCATCCAGTCGACTACCAAAGTAATTCTCACCATTTTAGGCATTCTCTCATTTAGTAAACACTTCACTCTCATGCAAATGTCGAAAGTAATTAGTAATATTTCCTAGAAGTAATAGAAGTAGTATTTTCTTAGTAGTCATAGCAAGTTTGTTAAGTGTCCTAATGCAATTTTCACTTTCTTTGACATCCAGGCATACTCCTGTCACCGGCAAGATCGTATACTGAGTTATAAATTTGTTTCACAGAGGACAAAGACCCTGACAACGATGAATGGAATACAGAATTGCTTGCTGTTGTGGGTGCATCTATATTTAATCAATTTCTCGAGGATCGCGGGTAACTGTCGCGGAAATGGTTTAGTGAACTGTGCTTGTAATTTTATTGGTGCTTGCACATATGACGCCAGTATAAGGAAATTTAATCCCTTTACTGGTACAGCACGTGATCTAAGAAGGTACATCCCAAACGTAACACCTTTGGCTATGACTTGGCCACTTACACAGTCCCAGATTACTGAAATTTGCGAACCTGGAGAGATTGGTATTATATATGATTGTAAGAATCGTATTCCCCTTATGGCTACAATTGTTATGACTGCCGATCAGTATAGAGATCTTGGATACAGGCGTCCTCCGTCGAATTTCAGGCAAAGTTCCAATATCGCAAACCCGGATTTGCAGCAAAATGATGACGACTATAATGACGCATCAAACCGAATCTTTTGCTACGAATCATTTAACGGGAACCATTACATTGACAGCAAATGGTACCAGGCAAAACGTACACAAGCAATTGCACCTCTCACGGCTTGTCAAAATGCAGGAGCACCAAGAAAATCACCTGTCCACAGAGGTCATTTGGTTGCTGCCAGCTATGGTCGTGGCCCACCGAATTTGATCAGAAGTGTGCAGACATTCGTATATACAAACGCAGTTCCGCAATTTGCCGGTCTAAACTCGGGACGATGGCGGATATACGAGTCGAACCTCATTAAATGGGCGAATGACAACTGTGGAAGTTCTCCTTTACACGTCATCGTCGGCTGCATACCTTCAACTTATCCGGGAAATGAACAACGGTTTTTCGGTAAATCAGGGTTCAGCGATTTTATTGGACCATCGCGCCTTTTTCCTGGAGGATACGAGTATAGAGTTAATGTACCATCGTACTTGTGGACAGCGGCGTGTTGTGATTTACCATCGAGCCGGATCACCAGAAGTACCACATTCTTTGCGGAGAACCTACCCAGAGGCTTTTCTCGACAAAGTGTCGAGTTAAGTAACTTGTTTTCAGCTATTGGGGCTCATGATATAGATCTTTTTCCTGGAATGGATAGTTGCAACGATGACAACAATTTCGTCTCAATTTATTAAAAAAAACCCTTTTATTATTCTAGTATACTAAATATTCGTACAGAATGCTTTGTTTACATATTGAGTCACTATATCTCCTAAAATACCCGGTCCTGTCAAAATATTTCGTTATTATCATTTCAGTTAACTATATTCCTGAATTGAATGAGATATGTTTATGTTCAAAGAAATTGAAAACATAGGAAATCTGGCTAATTTCTAAATCAAATTATGAGCAGAACCGATGCGCAGAAGCAGCTGTAACCCCGTTTTAAAGTTCCCTATATCGTAACTATTTTAGTTAATTCATTAATTTTTAGTTTATTTATTCTTTATGTTGCATCTTGAGGTTGACATGGTAGATTTTAATGGTTTTAAATTCGGTATTCTGTTGATAAAATCCTCACGACACGCGCTAAATGGCGCAGATAAGCAATATATTCATTTGAAATGTCTGAAATAACACTTTGAATTAAGGTGGCTCCATAAAGATATTTGCCAGATATCCTTTACCAGCTGATAGTTTTAGTGCATATAGATCGAATTAAAGTAATTCCGGAAAATGATAGCATAATACAAATTTTATTCTGTATATTTCGAATTAAGATCGATTCGTCTTCAGCAGAATGGTTTATGTTTACAAGATTTGCGTAACTATAAAGCGCGTACAATTTAAAACACGTGTGAGCGTAGCACGTGTAAACAATGAAAACGAATTTTAACGTACAACGAATTTAATTGTTATAACAATTAAACGGTTATAACGGTTGTAACCGCTGTTCTTCTGTTCAGCGATATTTGCCATTAGTTAAATAACTGCAGTTCTCTACTAGCCTTTAGTCCATTATTTAATATTGATTTGCGTCTTTTGATGTGTGTTATAAAGTTCTAGTTGTTTCAACAGTCGATGATTATAGTATTTGTCCATAGGCGTCCCAAAATTGTTGGTTTATTACATATTTAACACTTATTTACTGCGAACGAAGGAAACGTTATATTTTGTGGACCCGAGACCTGTCGATATTTCACGAGGGAAGCCGAGTGAAATATCGATGGTCGAGGGTCCACAAAACATAATGTTTTCTGAGTTCTCAGTAAATAAGTTTTTTATTATATACCACTTGTCAAAGAAAAACCAAACTTCAAGGTAAACAACGAAATATCTATTCATAAAAGACATAATTTCAAATGGATAAAAGTTGTTATTTCCCATTAGATAACACGTTATCTCACTCTGCAGGGGGTCGCGCTGGCGACATCAAAATTTCGTCACTCTCGCGTGATTCGCTCTCGACTAATGAAACCCTACGAACACCAAACTTTGAAAAGTGGTATATAATAAAAATCCTTTTAGAGATTGCACAAAGCGGCGTTACTGTGTTTCTCGCCCGATGGTCTGTCCAGTCTCGTGCGACGTTCGCGTAGTCTCGTCAGTTTCATACTCCATGCATATATTAAATATATTTGGTGTTGGTAAACAAGTTCAATTTTGTTGTTGTTACTTTTGTTCTGATTTGTACGTTAACGTTAAGGCAGCGCAGAAGTTTTTTCTTTAGTCCACGTAATAGTTTTTCTCCTTTTGTACCAATATATGGCATTTCTAACCATAGTGTAGGTACAGTGGCGTTAGCGTCTGTCACGTTATTGTTCTTCCCATTGTCAGTAGATTCAGAATAGTGCTGGTCGAAGCGTAGGATAACCGTTCCATGAAGCAATTTTCTTTAAAAATTGCAATTCTTGTGTGAGTTTAGATGGTGAACAGATACTGTAGAGGCGGTTAGGAAAAGAACGAATCCATGAAATGCGATGTTCCCATGGTACAAAGCTATCAAAGTGTTTGTATTGACCAGTAAAAGTACGTTTTCGGTATATGGAAAACTTGTTGTCGTCAAGATTGAGGTCGGGAACGTGAGATGGTTCGTCAGAAAACTGGCCATAAGTAAAGCGGATGTTACTGTCAAATGAGTGAAATTTGTTAAGTAACATATCAATGTCATCATGCTTAACTAGCAGTAGTGTATCATCTACATAGCAGCAATAGAATTTAATGACACCGCTGCTAATCAAAGGATTAATTATGATACGTTCAAATTCTGTTACAATATTGTTCGCCAGTACTGGACCAAGCAAACTACCCATGCTAACACCGTCTATCTGTTCGTAATACACATTATTACAACTAAAGATAGTTTTCTTACATGTGTCGCGTATGAGATTTCGTAGAGTAGATCTTTTCAGTGTCGTTGCATTCAACTCTTTTCCATCATAAATTCGTCGTTCAATGACTTCAAGCGTTCTTTCTAGTGGAACATTGGCTGTAAACAGTGATTCTACATCAAACGAGACGAACTTGTATCCTTGTTGGAAATGGACTTGGTCAATTGTTTCGATTCGAGATTTTACGTGAAATGTAAAATTCAATGTATTGTATTGTTCATTGACCTGACTATTGAAGAATTCACTGCTCTTCAGTATGGTTTGAAATATGGCATTGCAACACAACCGAAAGATTCTGACCTCATTGCATCTGCTGAGAGCGTATGGGAACAAATCAACTCATACGGTTGGCTTAAGAACAGTTTCTTTAAAGTTGAACGAGCGCATTCGTCTTCAATATCCTGGGCCATGACAATGTTCGGACACGAACAGACTACATGATTCAAACGATCAAAGATCTCCTCAAAGATAACATCCTTCTAAAACCAGATAAAGGAAAAGGCGTGGTTATTATCAGTCGTGCCGACTACGAATCCTCGATGCTACCCCTTTTCTCAGATCGGAAACGTTTTCGAGTGATAAAAGAAGATCTAACCTCCGCTAGATTAAACAGTGTACAGAGATATTTACGAGCATTATACAAACGTGGAGAAATCGACGAAGCAACGTACCAATTCATGCGACCAAAAGCGACAAAACCAGCATGCACGAGCTCATTGGTTACCAGAGACCCACAAGTCGTTTGATAGAATGCCAAAATTTCACCCAATTATAGATACAACTGGTACAACGCACTATGGAATCGGCAAATATCTCAGTCAGTTACCACAACCACTAACGATAAATGAAAATACCATTAAGGACAAATTTGACGCAAAATCTCGAATCGAGACGATTGACCAAGTCCATTTCCAACAAGGATACAAGTTCGTCTTGTTTGATGGAGAATCACTGTTCACCAATGTTCCACAAGAAAGAACGCTTGAAGTTTTCCATATACCGAAAACGTACTTTTCCAGGTCAATACGCACACTTTGATAATTTTGTACCATGGAAACATCGCATTGCATGGATTCGTTCTCTTCTTAACAGCATCTACAAGATCTGTTCACCATCTAATGTCAATCTGACAATGAGAACAACAATAACGCGACAGACGCTAACGCCACTGTACCTACACTGTTGTTAGAAATGCAATACATTGGTACAAAAGGAGAACAACTATTACGTAGACTAAAGAAAAAACTACTGCGCTGCCTTAACGTTAACGTACAAATCTGAACAAAAGTAACAGCAACAAAATTGAACTTGTTTACTAACACCAAAGACAAAGTTCCTAAACAAAGCAAATCTAACATTGTCTACGAGTTTACTTGTCCAAAATTAGTTTTGAATTTGTTTTCAAGTAAAATGCGTTAATAGGTAACTGTTGTCGGCCATGTTGAATCGCCATTGTATCAACGGTTATGATGTCATATTTATGGACAATTTCGTTAGACTGTTGGTTAATATATCTGGCTAATTTCTTTTTCGGCTAATTTTTTTTTTGAATCTAAATTACGAGTTTTTTTATATATTACCAAAAATTGTTGGGAGCGACCTTAAAAAGTCACTTCAGCTAAATTTACGGAGTGGCAAATCTTCGGCGCGCGCAAAGAACGACCGCCGTGTCACTAACTAAGATTTGCCTACCATAGGGGAAGTCTTCAAATTGTTCATTTCTGTACCTGATATCAACATTATAAATTATAAATCGATCATTTGTGCCAACGACAACACTTCGAATTTGATTAAAAAGGCTTTTGCTCAAACACATTCCTCGCGGAACCACGAAAGCGTCACCGACTCCCTGTTTAATACGCCCTGCTTCGTCGATCAGTTTCTCATTTTTCCACATCAAATGATGCTCAGATGTTCGAGAATCGTAACAGCATTGAACAATCAACCACATGGCAAATTTCTTATCTGCAGAAAAGGCCATCTCTATGAGAGATTTGGTATCTGGTACAGGAACATCAACCTCATCGTCACCAGGTACAGGAATGTGTCCCAGTTTATCACAAATCGTATGAACAATTTCCCGCATGATTGGATCTTCGTGTTTAACCTCATCAGTCGTGAAACGGTAGAATGGATTTAAACGTAGATAAAGCGCGCATTTTGAAAGTAAAAACACTTCGTCGCTTTCTTCCGGAATATTTTCTTCATTATGTTTCTCAAGTAAATTGCTGTATTCTACGAAGTCAGGGAGCGGGTTTGGAAACCATCTTTCTTTTCCAATTTGGATGCTGTCAGACCAGAGTTTTCGAAAAACAATTTTGGGGGTCTTTGCTTCCGGTAGATCCATTCCAGGGTACTTTGGCACAAATTTTTCCCACAAAGTATCTGAACTAGAAACGGTGTTCCAGCGCTTAGATACCAGACTGAGATACATAACATCGTGAATATTAAGGTAAGAAAAAATTTTCTCCAGTATTTCATTGGGCAGATTTGTAAAATAGTCTTCCTTTCTTCCGCTGACAGCGTTGGAGTGGATCACAGAGCTCTTTATTGCTACATGAGACATTGCTCTAGAGAGAATATTTTAGATAAATTTAGTAAAAGTTCAAATGAAATGAACTGATTAAGGCTTTAAGTAGTATTTGAATTCATACGATATGGAAGTAGTACAAGTATTCACGATAAAGTCGGCAAGGCCAAAAAATCGCAGCATCCGTCTTGATATGAACCTAACAGTGGTTAATATTTATTAAGAGTGTGTTTATGGTGAAGAAATTCAGCGATCTGGTCTTTCGGCCATAGAGTTTCGTACTCCATTATAGACTTCACATTCGGAAACATGCTGAGTAAAGCTTGCGGTGCACAGGCCAATCAAATTAAGAAATATTTTCGGATGAAACTTGAGATTGTACTGCTCATGCGGTCTGCGGAATATTTTCCGCTGTAAGCCAACTGATAAATTTGAGGAAATGAATTGATCAATATTTTCAATGGCGAGAAATTGTGGACACTAGTGGGAGGAGCTTATTTTGTTGCCTTCATGGGCCATACATGAAGTACCCGCGACATGATAAAGTTTCAACATGGCGGCCGCTACTAACAGCAGAAGAGCCGCATAGTCTAAGACCCGGAAAAAGACGATAGAAAGCGTTTAGCGACATATGACAACTTATTCGTTGGCAGGTTTGAGTTTATAATAATTTAAGAGTCTCTGAAGAAACTTTGCATCCGACATTTACAAGCCTGTTTGGTTTGGTCTATATGTTACAGAAAAATAAATCGAACTTCTACGGATGTTTAAATATATTGCGTTTGATGTTATGAATATTGCGCCAAATTTAAATATGGCGCGTATCAATATTTCAAATTTCAGCCATACACCGTCAATATAACAATATATAACGTGTGGCTTGGATACTATAAGGCCTGGTCACACGGCTCTTACTTTTCAGAGCCTTCGACACCCTCAACAACAAAATGGAGGCATATTCGACGAAGAAGGAACGGTTTCTTCGTTTATTTATGTTCGCCATTTCGGGAAGCTCCAGCGCGTAGTATCAAATTTCATTGCTAGAATATATCCAAATGTCCGTGGAACTATTCTAAAAACCGAACCAGGCGTTAATCGCCGAGATTAGAGATGTAAAATAGCTTGAAACATAGTGCATTGGCAAGCCAAAGAAGATCCAACATGTCGTGTTTGTCTCCCAAAATGGCACAAAAATGGAATTCTTTGAGACCTGCTTGAGGTATTTTGCCTATTGCACTTTATTATATGGATGGGGGTATTTTACTGAGAACTAAAACACTCGTAGAACTCATACGTCACTACATCCGGGACCAGGTGTGCGTATTTTCCGTATGTCACGTTTAGGGGTGACATAACAAGTTTCGAAAATTTTCCCGCCACTTTCTTTGTTGTTGTGAAAATACAAAGGTTCGTATATAAAACGAGATTAACGTTAGAAATACAAACAAAAACACATAAGACATCCTTAGATAAGGAAAATTTAGTCTACTTTAATGTTTAGGTTATAATTTAAAAAACATTTGCTTTTATAATGGTCTTCCGCGGCTAATTTTCTTGTCGCCTTTGTGTGTATTTTTTTCACTCATAATTTAGTCCATATAATTTCTCGCCATCGGGTTCGAAACGCTCCAATTGCCGCAATTCTAAGCATATTTAAATTTGAATTGATCAAACGTCTTTTTCGTTTAAAATTCATAGCGGCTGTGCTGACAGTTTAGTGATTTCCGTAATAATCCCCGAGCGGACACGGAGCGCCTGCGAGGGTACTAATTCCGCTCGGAGATTAGGAATTACACCCGGAACCCGGTAGAACATAGGCGAATCCAAAGTTGTCCAAATTCTTTGTCATGGACGGTCGACGTTGGGTGGTTTTGTAAGGTATGCGCATGCGTGAGTAACGTCTGGTAATCAACGAACGTTCTGAAATGTTTTAAAAGACAAAGGGTACGTGTTTACTTTGTTTATTTCGTATTTGTTTCGCGATAAGGATGAGCCGTATTTGTATACTTTTCAGCTTTGTATGCCGTTTATTTGTTAAATTTTCAGCTTTTTATGCAAACGCATAAACCTGTGAAAGGCTATTACACCTTTGCTTTAACTTCAAAAAGTTTTTTTGAAAGTGTAATTTGAATTTTGGTATAAAAAATACACACTATATTTATAAAGTATAAAACTTTTAGCCGCCGGCGTCGACTGCAAATACAGAATAAAATAACATTTGAAGTGTTTTCTTTGTCTGTGAAGATTTTGTGCTGTTTTAATCGTATGAAACTTCGATTTTAAACCGTTAGGCGTTACTTAATTGCTGGAAACATTAGCTATAATATTATATCTCAACTGTAAATCATCCAATCAGAAAGCTCGATTTGTACCACGTGAAATTATTCATGGAGTTCCATCGAATTTTTTCACATGCTATGAAAGTCGAATACCCCGCTGCAGCGGGGTATTCGAGTTTGCGTGTACCACGCATGGATGCCTCGCACACGACTCGAGGTTGTCAACAATTTCAAAATGGAGGCAAAAGAAGCCATTTCACCCAGCTTTTGCGCTGCCTACACGTTGTTTCAATATAATATATAATTTATAGACCTTCCGCTCGGGGAATTCGACGAAATATTACCCCCTCGGGAAGATATATCCCTCGGGCGAAGCCCTCGGGATATATCTTCCCTTGGGGGTAATATTTCGTCGAATTCCCCTCGCTCCAGGTTTATAAATGATAAATATACTAAGAGTCTAAGACTGATTTGAATTTGAATAAATAAATGATAAAATATAATAAGACTGATTTGAGTTTTGTGTCATTTCATAATATAAGTTTAGGTCAGGTTAACTCAGGAAATTGTGTACTTGGTTTGAAATAGCGAGGGGTTGCTGCATGCATGTATTTCTAGTAATGGCGGCAAAGCTAGCCGTAAGCAAACTGATAAATTCGAGGAAATGAATTGATCAATATTTTTTGAAACGCATCCATTGTCGCGATTGTAACCAAATTTAATCATTTGAATTGATCAAACGTCTTTTCCGTTTGAAATTCATAGCGGCTGTGTTGACAGTTTGGTAATAATAATGGTGGACAACTGTGGATCAGTGAACTCAAATACGACTGAAACGCTAGCTCTCTGACTTTCCCTCATTAAAGAGTGAAGCCAAGATGGTGGAACATGAAGCCTTTTCTTGTAGGTATGATCTAGGCCTCTGGCGCGGAAATTTCAGAGGTAAAATCATAATTGCCACCATTTTACCTACGAAATTTCTACGCGAAGGCCTGGATCATACCTACAGTGACAAGAAAGTCTGCATATTCCGCCATCTTGGCTTTTCGTATAGCTAGCATTCCAGTGCTGTGGATTGGTACATTCCATTCAACTGCTGTTTATTCGTATTTGCAGCATCCGCCGCGAAAAATTTCGGACGCAAAATACAAGGAGTGAGACTTTAGCTATAAAGCTCGTTTTCCACTAGCGATATTTTTCGCGCGAAACGACTTTATTCCTTTGTATTTGAGCAAGTTGTTCCAGATGGTTGCAGTTGAGAGCTCTGGAACAAATGTAAAATGTCGATTCGCGCGAAGAATATCGCTAGTGGAAAACCGGCTTTATGCATATTCTGTGCCCTACTGATCGTATAGGTGTAAATATCCGAGCGGGATTAGTTCCTTCGCCGTCGCTCACGTCAGCTCGTGTATAATTAAGTAATGACGTCATCTATCAGTTATTAAATGCCACGTTGCAATTACGGTTTTATATAGTAGGCAGTCGAAACGGGCAGTATGTTATTTTGAAACATTGTGACAAAATATGATTTTTTATAAATATTCCACTGCCATGCACCAAGTAATGGGACCAGAGTCACACAGTATTTGAAGAGCAAGTAATAGCAGACACGACCGATAGCGCGGAGGCATTTGCCGAACTAAATTATGCGAGTATTATAGATGATCCAAGTTTATCAGTCAGTAATCACTTATTATCTTGAGATGCAGGTTAACGATGGACGAAAGACCTAGCGATCCTGTGTTAACATCTCCCAAGGGCTATCTCAATTAAATCGAGTTAAATTCTCTTACGAGGTCGAAGTATCTGTCACGGATTATTTGCGGCGAGCTGGGTGGTAATGAATAACAGATGTTGCCTTAGGAAGAATACAAAGCCTTTTCTATATTGTTGTGACTCCCGAGCCCGAGCGACAAAGAACAATCGTTTAATTATTTAAAGCCTCATTAAAAAGTTTTCAAGAAACAAAAAGCTCTCAGAAAAAGGGATCCAAAAGAGACTGGCATAAAAGTTGTCTGTAAATCCGGCAAGTAGGATAAACAGCTCAAACAACACGAAAAGATGCAACAAGGAAAGGACAAAGAAACCTACAAAGGACGCCAAAAAATTCGTAAGGGTAGCTCAATGTTGGTGATGTGTGTGATGACGAATTGACGATTTATATTTTTTTAAGTGCATGGATGTTGATATTACTGATATACTGATAAGGTCTACTGGCCCTTCTACACGCAAATTAACCCTAAAAAATTTGAAGCACAATATAACCCTAAAAAGTACTAATAGAGCCATAGAGGCGAAGCTGTGATGTTGAAGATAAAACACGTAATGCCCTTCTAAGAAATGTACTTTATGTTTCTCCCAATAAGCAAAATATATTCTCAGGCTATGCAGATGTCTGCAGTAATGCCACTGTGAATTTTGCCCTGTTGGTGCTAAATTATATTCAGTCTATATGGGACAGAGTGTAAATTAGAATTGACAGGAAAGTTATATTACATATATGAATAGTGCAAAACTCATCAAGCATGCCTAAACAGGATAGCAAGTCTAAGTTTGACATGAACTTTTGAATTATTTTCTAGCTTTCAAAAGTGCAGTTATTAAGGCATGAAAATGTGGGAAAGGAAGAGTTTGATTGTGGAACATGTCTATAGAAGGATATATGACCCAAAATATGAGCAGAAAGCAAGATAGGTGAGCAAATTAATACTATTCTTGAATTATATATTCAGCTGACCTGGCCTATAGATTTCATAACAATGTTACCATTATGTACTAGCCTTTCTCATGCAGGCACAATAGTTTCCTAGTTGATTTGTTAGGCACAATAATTATTTATTTTCCAATTGATAGCAGTAGCGTAGCCAGAACGATAATTGGGGGGCCCATATTCATATATATTCGTAATATGCAGGATTAATTTCTTTTCAAATCAATTGTCTTTACAGTCTGTTAACAAGAATATATAAATATGGACCCCCCAATTATCAATGCTGGCTACGCCACTGATTGATAAGAGTGATACATTTAAGAACTGAAAAATTCAGGCCGACTCAAGTCTATTTGGTAAGATTAAAGGCCCTGCCTTAATTTATTACATGGTGCAATTTTTCTTGCAACTTGCAATACAATTCTACTTTTGAGAGATGTACATTTGGGAACGAAGAAACTTTTGTGTTTATTAAACTTCATGCACCTTTCTTCTGCAAGACTCTTCACTAATTTACATCTCTTAGAAGTAGAATTGCATTGTAAGTTGCAAGAAAAATTGCATCATGTGACAGGGCCTTAAGTGAATTTGGAGCAATAATGATGCAGAAATTACTTCAGAAATATTTCAAGATCTTTTAAGCGCCTTATACTTGCCACACTAAAATGGCATGCACAAATGAACATAGCCAGGTATTTTAAGGGGTAATTTTTGATATAGCCAAATCCACAAATTAAGGAAATTCTTGTCAGGCTTTCAAACAAGACAAAATTTCAGAATATGCATATTTTCAGGAATTACTAACTATACATTAAAATACAGTTCAAAGGACTATACTAGCAAACACACAAATTTGCAGAATCGAATTAGATATGACTGACTGTCAAAATTTCAGGAAATATTAACTTTTATATTAACAAGACTAAGAATTTATTGGTAGATTTGGAGGTCTTGGAGTGGTTTAGATAAATATCATTTCAGCTTAAATAAACTTTAGAATATGATGTACAATGATTTTTCAAAAATTTTCGTGACTTTTTTTAGGCCTAATACTAAAAAAGCTGTCACAATTTTAACTTGTTTACGGCCGCCGTCTCGTTTTTGACAGTCTAGCGCATACCCAGACAAATTTGTAAAACAGAACTTTTTAGAGCTGTACCTACAGGAGGAATACAAAAAATTTCCAGTCTTGAAGCCTTTGAACGGTGCATATGAATATACGTTCATATGGCGGAAGATGTTTCATTTATGATTTTAAAATTATAGAGTAGATAAGACTTTAAATGTCCTATGACCTATCGCTATAAAATTTAGTAGGCGTAGTTTACTATAGGCGTAGTTTAGTAGACCCTGAATTTATCTTACCAGTGTATTCGTTTGTGTTATCTTTGTCTTTCAATGAGTGCTAAAGATGTTATACACCGTTCCAAAAGAATCCTCCAAAAAGGCAGCAATAAACCTGACAACAAATGGTGTTGATGAAAAAATGAGAATTTCCTCGTAAACAGCGGGGTGTCATCTGGTTAAAATTCCTACAACGCCGCTCTAAATTTCCTTTTTAAGGCCCACACAGCCGGACGCGATGCGGCAACGCTACGCGAATTTTGAGTTCTCATAAGCATATAAATTAAATTCTGGAAGTAAAATTTGGAAACTATGGACGCCAGAGCAGTCCAAATGTTTTATTGTTATGTAATCTACAAGAATATTATGATAGTTTAAAATTTATTTGATTTTGAAAAATTAAAAACGTTGAAAATTCGCGCCGCGTTGCCAATTCGCGTCCGGTCTGTGTCGACCTTAAAACTAGTCTCCCTTCTAAAAATCTCTAAACTTCCTTCTTATTTTTTTGACATTTTAACATATCCCGTCCCTAAAACATCAGCCTAAAAGCTAATTACGTTAAAAGATTTCACCATAGAGGCTCATATTACAGTTTTTCAGTAGGCCTAGGTTATACCTCGCATTTTGGTCGCGTCTAGTGCAATGGGACGAAACCATGTAACGAAACCATCGTGTTTGCCCGGGCGATATAAGACATATAAGAACTGGTTGGATTCAATATTAAAATTTTTTTATCATTAATCTAAATGTTTGCCCACTAACTTTTTTAAAATAACCTACTCCCTTCTTATTCAATTTGGAGAATTTTTAAAAACTTTATTCTAGAATTTTTTCGGGGACCCTGCCCACGCCCCTCCTTCCTCTTCATTACGCGCGCCACTCGCGAAACTCCTGTTAAACAACTTGTCTTTGGACGAGCGATGAAGTGGGGAAATACCCTGAAAGTAGTTCTATGCTGGCTCACAAATAATCACCTCACAAAATCGTTTTCAATTTAGAACCACCCTTTTGAAATAATGGTTTAAAAGTTTTTGCTCTCATGAGCTTTGTGTAAAGATGCGAAACATCCTTCTTCAACAGATACATGAAAAATAATTTATTTTGACCAGTGAATTTGGAAATAAGCTATAACACGAGAACAATGAGCAGGTCGTGACGTGAACACTGACGAACACGTGACACTTGAAGCGCGTCTAAAGAAAGTATATAAGCAATGGCGGTTTTTATAATATGTAATGCGATAGGAATTTGTGGCTGATATGCCTCAAATATTATGCGTTTCAGAAGTGTATGCGATTATTGATTGGATATTAAGATTCACGAGGCGGCCAGCTTCGACGACGTGCTTGTAAAACAAAGAAACACCACATGCGGGACAATAGCTATGCAGAATTTGTGGTCCCAGAACAGATTTGACTGTCCCAGAATGCTCAGGACGCCTTCAAATGAGGCAATTTCACGGTTTCTGGACGACATGAAAGCAGCTGCAAAGTGATAGCTGTTTTACAGCTCACACGAAGCTGCAATGTCACCTAAAAATCGGAGGTTCTTAGTACAATTGAGATGGTTATATGGTTATTTCAAATCCTTGCAGCATAATTAGTCTCCCTTGGCTTATTTCAAGCACAATATTTAGTTGACTGGCGACGTCGTAGCTGACCGCGTCGTACATCTTAAACTCCCTATTACCGACTTTTAACCGCGTTTAACAGAATACTTTGCCAAAACTTGTGATGTTGACCGTGTAGCACCCCCACCGCACAGCCGTACACTACGCTACGCCCCTAACGAAGAGGCTCCAGGTCTCGAAAACTGAAAAACGATAATGTTGTGACGTAATTATCGAAAGGGTCTATTGGAAGTAACAAAACAAATTATGACGGTGGATCTTTTTATTCCAAAATATCGTGAGGAGTAAAGTAAGTAATTTCCCTCTATCTCTTCTGTAATAATAAAAATTTCGCTCCAATATTCTTTGATTAAAACTATTTTCTACCAAATTTCCTTGCGAATGCTCAAATTTCCTTTTGTAAGGAAATTTCTGCCTGATCTGTCACTCGTGACCGGACGCCGAAGCATTTCTAAGAAGCAAACCAAGAATTCCACAGACACGTTATTAGATAAGCCGAATAACATCCTTGTTATATCACGGGTTATATGAATGGCATTTCGTGGAATTATAGTCAAGCCGAGTGGTCAAATTTACACAGTTATTAAACTTGGGAATTGTGCGTAAATAGGAAAACAGCTGGGTCAGGTTGTATACGAAACTCTCGACTACATACATTCTGATTCTGCGTAGTTAAATTGTATTCAACTCCGAAATTCGTGACTCTTATTGTCCAATTCTTCTACTTACTATTGTTTACTACATTTTATATGCAACCTCATCCCAAGACAGATGTGCTGCATATTACTTTTTATTAGTTAGAAATTCCTGACAGGTTTTTGGTCAACTGTATCAATCATCGTGTATGTACATACTACTAGGGGGCCACTGCTTCAACCTCGTACCCAGGGTCTTTACTCTACTCGTACTCCCCACGAAAAGAGTAAAGACCCTGGGTACAAGGTTGCCACTGCTTTTGCATGAGTTTTCAATTTCTTAAAAGCACATAAAGTTTGTCAACATAAGCTGAACCACATGAAGTCAATTTTTTGGTACCTAGTGCAAAATTTCATCTAAAATATGATCCTAGTTATTAATTTGCAAACTTCTCTTGTAATGGTCTGGTAGTAATCTCTGATAATTGATAATAAAAGTATCATTTCAAGTTTTTCATGTTATTAAGTTTGGGAGTAATCTGTTAACAACTTGCAACAAACCTTGCTTAGCAGTAAAGCAGACATATTAGAGTCTACAGCCATGATTTAGGATGCTATTTTAGGTTGTCAAAACAAGATTGTTACTGCATGTGCACATGGACTTATTTATTGTTTCACAGCTCAGCCTGTCTGTGCTTAAAATGATACTGTGCTTAAAATATCTGACAATACTAATGGACACTTCCTAAATTTGTTCTTGGGCAATGAAAACCATCCCATAAACAGTACATTTCATTGGACACCTCGTTTCCAAGCTGTATTGTTTTGTGTCCACTCAAGCAAATTCAGCAAAGTGTCTATTGGCAAATACCACTAAAAATAAAATGAATAATTTCCAACTATCTGAAAATAAGTCTGGCATAATAATGCTGGCTAGGATTAACAACAACTGTAAACAATGTGGGCAGTAAAATATATTGTTCAGTTCTTTTTTGTGATAATATTGCAACAAGTTAATGATTTCTGTTCAGCGACAGAGTGTATACATCCTTACCTCGTACAATCATACTCTTATCAGGCCGCGACTGAAGCCCATTAATACCTGAGATCACCCGAGAGCAGGACATATGAGCTTCACCTCATGCCATACCTACAGGTACCCTGGTTGTCAAAGTTCTTCTGTCTTCTTGCTAGTATGAATTATAACTGGTATTCTTGTCACAAAGGGCAGAAAGAACCGGCTTTGGTGGCATTGTCGCACAAAATCGTGGCACAAATTTAACTTTCATAAAGTCCACATAATTTTAGCTGTCACATACTCAACAACAACCCAATTAATATGATAGAAAGCAAAAGAATTGTCCATGCAACTACGGTACTTGTTTACTTGAATTAAGGCAATTGGTTGGTCAATCATGGAAGACTGAGAAATTGCTTAAGCATCTTTTTTCAATAACAACTTTCTTGTAGCAAAAATATAATTTGGTATTTGGGTCAATGTAAACATTGGTCACTCCTTTAAATACAGTGATTGGCAAAATTTTCATTTAGCAATTTATTAGTTAAATTACTGACAAAATGCCTCAATTTATGCTTGGAATAAAAGGGCTTAATTTACTACCCCCTTGCATGTTCGTTTAGTAGAAGTCACTAGAGTAGATGATGTGAAAATAAGTTTGTCACCATGCATCTTTTGCTGGGCATTTTTCAGAATGTTTAATGAAAAACTAAATATATATCTCTATACAGCATACTGATCAATATATCTCAAAAACATACTGGTGTATATATAGTGCTGATGTGCAAAAACATTCTATTACATAAAAAGATAAAAATGTTATCAACTGACTTATAATATTTGCTGTACAATTTTTTTATTTTCCAACCCCCTTTTCCAAATTAACTTTTTGGCTCCCCCCCTCCTTCCTCTCAGTGGCCATGGAGAGGTGCTCTCTCCGCGAAAGTCAAAGAGGCAATTATTTTCAGTCCTAAAACCATAGTCCATAGAAATACAGAATCATCAATCATAAAACAACAGAACTAAAAACCTTTTTACGACAGAACTTTAGAACCTTAGAACGACAGTATAACAAAGTTGTCCAAATTCTATGTCATGGACGGTCGACGTTGGTTAACCTTGTAAGTTATACGCATGAGCGAGTAACCACTGGTAATCAACAACGTTCTGATTGGCTAAGACAGAAAGTTTGTATTTCAACGAGAACGTCAGCAATGTGAGTGCAGCAAGAAATCAGAGGATCGAGAATGAACGAGAGCAGGCATTGGAGATGAGGGAACGAGCAATGGAGAGGTTGGGGGAAACACAAGTGGTTGGAATGATAAGTGAGAGTGGTCCAGCTCAGAGGAGGAGAAGAAGAGCTGGAGGCATGATGGAGTGGTTGCAGCAGAGGGTGGAATTGGAAAAAGAAGAGAGAGAGTTAAAGCAGGCAGAAAAACGGGAGCGTGTGGAGATGTAAATGAACTAACATATGGCCGAACTTTGGGACGGGGGTGTAAAGCTGTACCCCGGGGTTACAAAGGAGGAATTGGGCTCTGTAATGAAGTTTATAAAGTATAATCCAGCAACAATTAACACATAAAGAATTTAATAAGGAAATGTATTGCATTTACTTATCACTAAAGGATTTGCTAACAACTAGAGTTATATAATATATCCATTACAATCTAACAATCAATGACCTTATAAGATTGACGTTAACGGCAAACGCCAAACCGCTGACAAATTTTGTGTTTTAACTCCACTAATTTTGCTAAATTATAAAAGTTCTTCATGAAACTCGTGATGTTTCGAAAAAATCGACGCCTTTCAGTACCAAATATGTTGAGCTTTTGGTTATAGTTATATATGCAAGTGTTCATTGGAAAACAAGAGCTAATTGTTGAAGCGTTATTCACAATCAATATTTTACATATCAAGTATATATATGTATAAACTTGCTCAATAGCTATAAGAAAAGAAAATTCCAATCAACGATACCAACATCAAGAACAGGTTTGCCGACACGCTCGTCTCACCAAAGCTTGGGTGAACAGTGCAATCTGTCAAAAATGTAAAGATTTTAAGTATTATAGGCGAAATGCGCAGAAAATCATTGTTACGTTCAGCTTGATATCCTATATATGCAATCTGTGTGTAAGAAAAATACCACAGTAGGAAATTTCTTTGCGAAGATCTCGGTTAAAAGTTTAAAAATACCTAATAAAACCAAAGTTGTACCGCTCTGTAATTAGCTACCGATCTAAAATTTTTGCATGATCAGTATTCTTTCTGCTTTTCCAGCCAAAATTTTAGCCATTTATCAACGTTTAATACCATAATTTTTATACAAAACGTTTGTAGAAATACACTAAAAATGAAGAACTTTGATCGATACGCCTCGATCTACAAGAAACAACCAGCGCAAATTGTAAATATTCAATGATTTTCAGTAATTTTGTGGACTTCAAGAAAGCAAAGTAAAATTTATATATAGTGCAGGGGACAGTTGTATATGAAAGCCGGATGGCGCTAGTCACCGGATAGTCATTTTTCAACCGTTCTGAAAATGCTTGCATATGAAGAGCAATGAAATTTCAGTTTTGAAACCAACAATTATTAAAGAGCATCTCTGATTTAGGAATACAAATATTTAATTCAAGTTATACAAAAAAACAGGCGATTTGAAGCGATTGAAAAAACCACTATCTGGTGGATAGCCCTATATATCCGGCTTTCATACAACTGTGGCCCCAGCGGTTAAAGGATATTTGAGGAAATTAGAATTTGAGAATATTTACGGCAATCTGCATATTCTATGTCCGCTATTTTTGGCCATGATTGTCTCATCGATCATGCAGAAGCAACCTGCGGGTTTTTAGCCCCGTGTAGACAGGCAGCACAGCACTGTCAGCACAGAATATTGTGTCACGATTTCACAACAGGTATATTAAACCTACCAGCATCACTTAAGTCAAGAACCGTTTTAATGACAGCATTTATTGATCTTCGTAAGAACTCCAAGTCATCGTCTTTAACCTGGCTGAAATCGTCACATATCTTGTGGTAACAATGCCTCATGTATCCCCTGAAGTTCGCTGTATCCCCCAACATCACGGCGCTGTACGATGCCTTAGTGTCCCAAAACGAGTAATGGTCACTGCGATACAGTTCGATGAAATAGTCGTGCGTTGGTGATAACGATGGGCGACCTTTGATTGGAATTGGCAATAATTGCGCACGATAATTTGAATCTGGAAAATATTTCATTGAAATGAAGATAAAGTAAAGGGCGCTCGTAACACTTTGTAATAGTCTCTCAACCAATGTCACCTTTGAAACAGCTGTTCGTAGCTTAGTAGCATGTTATATGCATTAAGACGGATCTTTGTACGGTCATGCTGTGTGACCAAATAACATGCACAAAACACGTGCACAGTTATCGTCCCAGTTATATATATAGCTCGTTGTTCACACGTTTCGATCAAGAGGCTTGTTATATATAGATTTGCATCGTGCAAACATAAAAATTAGGGAGGGAGATTCCATGGAGCATTAATTAATCAAACTCTTTGAAATTTACTACACTGCAGAATATAACAAAACACCAACAAAGTACAGAAATGCATAAAACAGCACAAAAATAAGTCAGTAGTACTATGCTATCAGCAGAGCTAACGATCTCCCGAGGCAGTTAGCTCTGCCCGAAAACCATCCGCACGCGACAGAAACTTGCCTCTCGAGGCGAATTCGTCACGAAACTATCCGCACACGAGAGAAACTTGTGCAGCTTATAAGCAAGTGACGTTTTTCACAACACTTACGTTGCTCGGATGTAAAGCTCAGTTTTGTTTTTCACCAATCACAATCCTAGACCCAGTCTTTTGACGTTACTCATAACGTTTGTTGTCAAAAATATCACTTGCTTAAGCTCACTGATTAGCTCTCTGTGCTTAAACAACTTCACAACCTGAGTAGGATATACGAGTTTGGCAATGGACTCAAGATCCCAACAAGTCATACGCCGTACGCATTGAGAAAATTGAAGTTCTACGTCTATACTTACTTGAGCAAACAGAAAAATTTCCTCGTACTTAGTCTGGCGGTATCGAAAGTGATTTAGGCATATTATTAAAAGTAGTATTCGTACAAACGAATTAGGGGACGGTTGTATCGAGCCCGTTCAGCTGAAACGGTGGATAAGTCAAAACTATATAACACTCTTAGAACTTTCCGGAATGAGTCAAGTCAGTCAACTTTAAATATTATATCTCAACTGTAAATCATCCAATCAGAAAGCTCGATTTGTACCACGTGATCAGTAAATTAATCATGGAGTTCCATCGAATTTTTTCACATTATGCTATAAAAGTCGAATGCCCCGCTGCAGCGGGGTATTCGACTTGGAATACCGCTGCAGCGGGAGCGGGGTATTCGAGTTTGCGTGTACCACGCGTGGATGCCTCGCACACGTCTCGAAGTTGTCAACAATTTCAAAATGGAGGCAAACGCCATTTCACCCAGCTTTTGCGCTGCCTACACGTTGTTTCGATATAATATATAATTTATAGACCTTCCGCTCGGGGAATTCGACGAAATATTACCCCCTCGGGAAGATATATCCCTGGGGCGAAGCCCTGGGATATATCTTCCCTTGGGGGTAATATTTCGTCGAATTCCCCTCGCTCCAGGTCTATAAATTATAATAATATCCACTGAATACGTAGTTGTAAACAGTATCTTTCACCTTTAAGGTTAAAGTGCCTATATCACTCGTGGGATCTTTATGCATTTGAAAAGAACGTAAAAAGTTAGTTAATATATTAAAAAAGTTTTTTAATTTAGTGCAATAATTTCGAAGATACAAGCCTCTAAACTACCTGCGGTTCCTAAGTCCCAGCCTGCTGGGTTTAAACACGGCTATTCAATTTGAAACTGCCCATTGTTTACAGGAGCCTGGGACTCAGGAACTGCAGGTAGTTTAAAGGCTAGTATCTTCAAAATTGTTGTACTAAATCAAAAAAAAAAATTAATATATTAACTAACTTTTTACATTCTTTTCAAATGCATAAAGATTCCACGAGTGGTATAGGCACTTTAAAAACATTTAGTTCGCTTGTTGAATAAAACGGCAGACTTGCTTTCTATTTTGAACTTATCCGCCGTTTAAGCAAAACAGGCTTAATACAACGGGCCTCAGATGTACAATATTATTGAAAAAGGGGTGCCTGAAAGCGATATTCGATATTGGTGAACAGGATACCAACGATAAACGTTGTTAATATTTCTTACCAATATTAAAAAAGCTTTTTAATTCACTTTCTTGCTTTATTTACCTTTTGAGTAGTACTTCAAAACTAAATCAAGCAGTTTCCTATCCGATTCGTTCCGTCCAATTACCGCTAGAAAATTGCCTCGATTTGAGTCACTCCTAACTTCCTTATAAGCCCCAGGGAGAAGTTTTTCAAAGCCATCTGGAAATATCTGTGAATCTAGTAAAGGTTATATTGCAAACTGAATAAGAATCATCGATTGCTGGAATGAATTAAGCGCTCTAATTTTCCAGCAAAATATTTCAATAACTGTTTAAACGCAGTGCCTTGCTAAATTTGGCGCATATTTTCCAAAGAAACCCTCAAACATAATATGTGTCTTTCCATAACATGGGCAGGTTGTATAAAATGCCTAATTTGATTTTGCATAATTATATCATAGTTAATTTAACTCAGAAATGCGGATTTAATTGGCCAATTCTTTTAATAACTGTAGTTAAAAGTTACCTATACCTTTTTATGCAACTGGCCTTAAGCGATTACTAATCTCTCTGCTTACTAAATTCGAAGTTAGTCATAATTGTGAGCGCTGGTCCGTTTACACTTGCGATTTTTTCTGCGATTTCAGTATGTGCAATTTTCTCCTTTTCATAGATGTGAATGAGTAAAAGACCTTTCTTATAATGACGTCAAACGCGGAAAGTCTGATGTTACACGAAATTTGATTGGCTCCACAAAACTATCGAGCCAATCAAACTTCGTGTAAAATCATACTTTCTGCGTTTGACGTCATTATGAGAAAGGCCTATTACGGTTACGAATGCTCAGATGTATAAAGTTCTGATCAAAGTGTATTCTAACACCGTTTCACACCGGAGTAGTAATGAATAATCCTTGGTAAAGTACACACCTGCTGAAGAATTATGATTGAGCATTGTCTCCAATATGATCGCTCCACCAATTGTTCCTCCGGTTTCGTTAAGGTAACTGCTGATATTCTTTACATACGCCTTGCTACCGCAGGCAATTGGCCAAGGAATTTTACACTCTTTAGTCAATTCTTCGAAATCAAATGCAACAAACAGAATAGTGTTCTCTACTCTACATTTCGCTTTTGCTGGAATGACAAAATAGTAATGTTAATGTCAAAATGCGCAGTTGATATTCAGAACTGAATTTCTTTGATTTTTTTCAACTTTCTAAAAGTCTTGAAATGCAGAAAGTGCCATTTCTGCGATACATACACGAATTTATTAGTCAAATTTGCGCTACACCAGATACAGGGAAATATCGCAGAAATTGGTGTTAATGAAGTTTCAACCCGAAAATGTAGTCACTGGTTTACAATTGTGCGTTTCTGTATCGCTATCAAACAGAAAACTATTGTATAAATGTAAAAAGTTTTCAATTTTTCATTTGAATACGCATTCTGCAAACTTTTCACAGTTCATCATATACATCTGAACGCTGTGAAATGGCCATTTTGAGACAAGATATACACAAGGTAATATTTTTTACTCGCTAGGCGATATTTCGGTATATTCGACTTTACCAAGAACGAAGATATTGTATTCCGGTATATTCGACCTTACCAAGATCGATATAATTCGGTATATTCGACCATACCAGGTCGAAGATACCATATTATACTGCGCTGTATATTTGACATTACAAAGCTCGAATATATCACATTCCGGTATACTTGACCTTCGCTACTTTTTTATCGTGTCGGTGCGTCTTATACCTTTCCATAGATCAAGACCATACCCGGTCGAGTATACTATACATCAGTATCTTTACCAAGGATCGAGTTTGGGAGGGAAGCTAGTCTTATTTTCTGCTAATTCCGCATTTAATTTCTGTGTTTAAAACATTTTGACCGAGGCATTCGCATCTGTCTGGATTCGCTCCTAATCTCGCCGCTAATCCAATAGATTGTCAATTTGTTCAGACGTGTTTCGATATCAAAATCCTCTATTCTGATTGGTTGATGATCAGTCCGTAAAGCCCATATCTGGGCTGTGGTATTTCGGATATTTCACAGTACAGACCTCACGCTCGGTCATACAATAATTAGGTATTGTCATTCACTTTATCGTATTCTCAATTTTGATTGGTTAATTTACCTGCAGTTAACTGCGTGCGAATATTACTCTGAGCATGCGCATTTGTTAAAAACGTTGCTCAGCTGCGAAATATTTCCCAAAGTGATGATATTTTCCGAGGCTTTTCGAAAAAGTATTGTGAGCTTGTAGTAGAGGCAAACATACAGCACGCCGGAGAATTATTTCTTTATATATATTCTATAAATCAGTAAAAGCACTCGAAGAAAGCGTAAAAAATTACCGTATAACGTATTTTAACATTAGTGAACTTTTTTGTGTTTTCCGCCATTTTTTTCAGTGGTCGCGTGAGATAAATTTAATATTACAGTGTGTTAAAGTTAATTTTGTCACACCCTAGCTCGGAAATAGGGAACTGGGATGCGATACTGCGAAAAATCTCCTCGTCACATAGTGCATATAATGTTTTTGAATTTGGGGTATAATATATTATTGTATGGATTACACATTATTATAAGTACTCGCCTACGTTCTTTGCAACTTGAAGTAATGCAGTGACACCAGAACCATTATCATCAACTCCGGTGGTATGATTCGCAGTATCATAGTGTGCGCCCACGATGACTATCTTATCATCGGCTGTTCCTGTTCTTTTTGATTTAATCATACCGACGATATTCTCAGCACGCAACTCCTACAGAAAGAAACCCTGAGGTGGTTCAAATGTAAAATGGATTTTCGGAACCTAATAAAACACAGATTCCTTCCCATGCAGTGGTGTAATGCTTTTCAGTACTCAAGATTTAGCATTAGGGCTGTGATCAAACGTTTAAAGGAAAAATATGGTTTCCATGCATAACTTTTGCCAAGCGAGCCACCTTAAGAGAGGGAAAGACCGATCGGATGAGACCGTTCTCAGAAAGTTACCTTTAATACTGATATTTTATTAATCACTTACGTCGCCTATTTTTGGTCGCTCCGTCCAGACATGTAAGCCATATTCCTTGAGCGACGCGGCAATGTAGTCACGTATATTGTTTTTCCTATCAGGGCTCGTCACATCATTACGACTTCCATTGAAATTCGTTAGCGTGGACAGAATTTCAGTGATATTGCTCTGTATATCGGGCAATTCACCACATAACACCATGCGTGTTCCTTTAGAAATTAATGTAGGAAATTGGGCGGTAAACATTTAAGAATCAATATAGCGACATGAATCAACGAGACCTATTGTGAACACTGATAGACTTAAAATCTATAACTATTAGATATTACTTGAACGTTTTATCCCTTTTTCTAATTTCTGAACATTAGGCTATAATTACTTTCGTGTAATTCAGTTTTTACTGTAAGGTTTTTTAAACATGAATTATACGTCATAAGATTTACACTGAGCTCTGTATTGCTGAATGACACAATAGAGGATTACAGTTATATTTCCCGCCTTTTTTGGTGTTTTTCTTCATGTCTTGAAAAAACAACCTCTAGAGGCAACACGATTACTTCAAGAAATTATGAAAAAAGTAATGACTTATTGCACGTTTTCTTCGCAAATTATTGACAATGAATGCTTCGTGCTCTGCCACTAAAGCTTTGTTGACTTAATTCCACTTAAAAAATAATCTCATTTTGATCGCTTTATTCGTAGTGCTCAAAATGTAAGCATAGTTAAACATGGCACACAATGTTGAATGATCTATCATCAATGTGCACTAAATGATCATCAATGTGGACTGATCATCAATATAAAACGATAATCTTTATGGAATGATCATCAATGTGGAATGATCTTCAATATGAAATTATCATCAAGGTGGAAGGATCATTCACGTGGAATGATCATCAATATGGACTAATTTGTCATACGTGGTGAAACTTCAGTCTAGGTTTATAGCATTAAAGTATTTTGCGATAGCGCTAAAGTCAACATAGAGTATTTTTCACTTTAACATGAAACCGCGCAAACCTCTAACTGCGGTTTGAAAATTAAACGTCAATTTGTGAACTCTAAAATGATATTGACATAACTTCTGATAACAACGCGCGACATACTCGCGTGGTGCGTGATGTTTTTCTTGGAATAAAAGCTGCCTTCTGCGAATTATGGCTAAATTATGTTCCCATTTAAAATGAAAGAAAAAGAAAGCAGACTTGTTCGGGCAGCTCTCTCTCCCGGCCAAGATACATATTAACACACCAACATACATAATTATAATGAATTTGCAAATAACTAGGTTGATGCCGCGATTCAAAAATAAACAATAATTTAACACCAGTCTAGCCACTCGTGACTCGGCATGTTTTGTCTTATTGAGGGGTTCTAATGAATTGTAGAACGAATTAAACGGCGATGTATTTTAAGATAGTTCCAAGAAATTCTCGTTCCGGATAATATAAGGAATTACTACACACAGCCTGATGCACGGCATCATTTTCTTGGTGGAATGCAAAATATTTCGCTAGATCAAATTGTGTGCAGTCAGGCTGAAAATGTATCTACTGAATCGTCGCAATTCGAAAGAGACAAACGAAATATAGTCCAGCATAAGCTACGTGGCCATATAGGCACATCGACAATACTACGATCTTCATGGACTTGCCTACGGGTAACTGGGGTTATATTTCTGAGAGATTACAGAATGAAATTGATTTATAAAGATATGTAAAACATTCGCCGGTCTGGAGGTCTCCTAGATAAGTAAATACAACAAACATACTGCACTATACCACAGTTACACTCTACTCACCCAAAGCCAGACACGCCAGGCGAAATACAGTTATGACGAGAATGCGAGAGAGCATGGCAAATTCAACCGGTTATCACGGCGACAATATGTAAAATGCAGGCTGTATTCAGATCGTAATACCCAGCCCGGTCAATGCGGTAGTCTATATCTTAAAAGACTCTTAGTAAGATTCAGATATTTTCGCTGAAGCGGATACGGCAGCAAATATGGCAGATGTCTTTATAAAATGTCTGTATATGCTGGCTATGAGGGTCACGTGAGCCAATGAGCGATGAGTTATAAAATAAGTATGAGACCTAGGCAAGTTGTCTGGCCGGGTATCATGCCCAACCTCCTATCCAAGTGCATTAATTAATACTAAAATATATAACGTTGCATTCAGTTATTGTATAGAGGTCAGCAAACGGTAAACTTCATAATATTAATATTTCGACCGAGTATGTTTTGGCCAAGTGCAACAGCGTAGCCCCTAGGCCTCATTTACGCTCCTTATACACGTGGCGAGGCGGGAACTGAGACGCCTAGAACAAAATGTTTTGTATTTTGACTAAAGTGGGGCCCTTTTGTCCCCAGTTTCTCTATTCAGGTCAGTTTACGATCTACGACGCGATTAGCTGACCCTTTTTCGACGTCGCTATTCAAATATTTGCCCGAAATAAGGAAAATTAATTATGCTGCCAGGACTTCTAAGTATTCATACAAAATAACGCTGCCATGTCGTTCGCTGTCAATGCTATCGACTATCTCATAAACTTGTCCGTATACGTACATGTTTATGATTATAATAAGCTTCAATCCGCCAATTTCAATTATTCTCGCTTCCTTTATAACGGTTATTGTTGTAAATTGCAAACATTTACTTTGTAATAACAATTCTGATTTCTTAATATATAAAAATTCACAACATTAAATGCCGTTATAACATTAGAAAACATTTTGTGCTGGGACTCTCACGCGTGTTTCATTCGGTGACGTCACGGATTTTTAAAACGCGCGCAAGAGGTATAGGGAGTAGGCAGCGAGTGTAACTGAAAATAAGAGGATTGAGAACTAACTATTTGCAAAACAACGGGGGCGTACAAAGTGCATCAGTGTGGTTGGCAAGGCTTCAGAAGGACCACTTGAATCGGAACCTTTGAATGCAAATTTCGAGCATGTGTTACGCCATTTTGTCGTTCTGTCAAGCAAACATGTGTTTTGAAGATTGAAATTACAACATTTTTGCGACTTGCGAGGAAAATTTTTTTTCATTAGATTACATGAAATCTTGCACTCTCAGAGCGGGAATCATATACATGTACATGGATATTTATATGGTTCTTTTATAATAAAGATTGTTTACATAGGTTGAATAAATTAAATGTGAAACTTACATATGTTTACATACGGTCATGACAACATTAAATATGCTCGGTATGGATTAATGTTTGAAAAAGCGTCAACGCTGTGTCAATTGACAGTTGCAACCAGAGATGATCTTATAATCGTATTATCTTTGATAATAATCAATATATTTCGCCAGCAACCAACTATTTAAAAGACTATGAAACGTCTTAATATCCGGACAAAAACAGGTCAATTTTGCATTTAAATTACGGTATTTACTTTGTGAACACAGACTATGTTACATAATTGATGAGCAAGTTGTTTTAAAACTGCGTGTCTAAAAATTTATACCTCACTTTAAGAATGGCTGCCTCGATGAGCAACAGTGCGTTGATTTTAATTTCTAAAATACTTCAGCTAGGCGAATGCCGAATCATTCATCAGGCTTTTTTCCGTAAACATCAACAAAAATATTCAGGGAATCGTGTCATTCATACAAAACATGCAGATACTGAGTCTGAGTGTTATATGTATTGCGTTGGAGATGATGAATCGCGTCAGTCAATTTTAAAACCTCTGGAACCGGTAAAGTTCAGTGTGAGATCAACAGTAAGACACTTGGAGACACATCTTACGCTGATGGAAGCATATAATTTAGCTACCAAAGAATATGCTATTATAACTAAAAGGCAATGCATGTACACGCCAATATTTCATGCGTGATTTACATGATCTATCTCCAACACAATGCATGCATGGAACATATCCCAATTCCGTATCTGCATGTTTTGTATCAACGACATGCATTATTCGCTAAGTATTTTTGTTGATGTTTTCGAAACACAGCCTCCTGATAAATTATTTGGCATTCGCCTGGCTGGAGTATTTTTGAGATGAAAATTAACGCACAAATACTCAGTAAGGCAGCCATTGTGAAAATGGGCAAAATTATTGTTTTTTGACACGCAGTTTTAAATCGATCACGTTTCTCATTTAATTACTTATTCATCAATTATGCATGTAATATAGTTTGCGTTCGCAAAGTAAATATCGTAATTTAAACGCAAAATTGACCTGATCTTTGCTGGCATTTAAGACGTTATATACTTCTAAATAATTGATTAATGGCGAAATATAGTGATTATCATCAAAGATACGAAGCTATTATTGCAAGATTTCATGTATAATCTAATGAAAAATGGTGCACACTGATGCACTGTGTACGCACCGGCACATGTCACTCGTGAAAATAATGTGTTTATACGTTTTTCTACAGGGTGTCCCAAAAAAAACGAAAACTATTGAAATCACTCATTGTTAAAATTTGAATGCCGTGTTGACGAATTTCAGCCCGTGGGCATTTAATGCAACTTATAAAATGCTAAATGCTTTGTGTTGCTAGAGAAAGGGACATGTCGATGGTCATGGTCCTTAAGATGCACATTTAAATACTGTTATCCTGCTTATCCATATTTGTAAATTGTAAATATTGTTAATAAATATCATTCTTGCGAACAAGCAAATTTTACTGCATCATATGCATGCATAAAAATGAGTATTGCAAACATTTATACACCTGTGGGTCCCAACAGAGTACTTAGGCATTCAAACTCTAAAAATTGCATTGTTATGGGTGATTTCAACAGTTTTCGTTTTTTTTGGGACACCCTGTAGTTTACACGGAGTTCTTTTGTCACTCGTGTCGTAAAATGACAAAATGCAAATGAACTTTAAAAGTTTAAACAAAGAATTTAGCTCATTAACATTAGGCTCGGCCATAAAACGTTCGACATCAGAAACGTCATCAGGGGCCGGTTGTTCAAAAGCATTTAATGCTAATCCTGAGTTAAAATCCTTAACCCTAGGTTTGTTAAACCTGGGTTAAAACTGTATTGTTCAAAGCCGGGTTATCGGTAGGCACTAATTTTCATTGCATCGAAAAGAATAGGATAAAACGTGTCAATATATTCATGACGAATGCACGAGCGCCAATGGACGACTTGCGCTTTAGACTAATTTCCTACCTCGGCGATAAAAAGAACATTTTCTGAAAGAGCTTACTAAAATTAGTAAAACAGCCAAGTTTGACTACGAATTGTTGTAAATTATTGAAAATATAGCAATGCGAAGCTCTCGAATTTTGTCCCCGAGCCGAAGCACCGTGCTAGGGTACTAATTCCGTTCGGATATTTACACGCACGATGTGCAAATGCGAAATTAAAGTCTTCCGCGGCCGCCATTATGCAATTGACCTCACGCCATGGACGGTCTTTTACGTTATACGCATGCGCTAGTGTGAACTACTAAGCTCTTGATTGGTCGAGGCAAAAACTTGTATTTTCAAACGTCAATGAATAACTGTCATTTCGCAAAATTTTGATAAAATTTATAAATTTATATTTTCATAAATATGGTATATAGGAATTATTGGCATACCAATAAAAAATTTATTGCTTCCTGCACTTGATACTGATAAAGTAGATTAAATACTTTAGTTTGACGTACGAGTAATTTCCCTGGAATTCTGATGACATGTAGGTAACGCGTGGGAGAGCGGAGATTAGAGTCTGTATAGATCAAGAACAGAATGTGCTGCTAATTCATTCTGCTCCTTGCTTCGACAAGGTAATTACAGATCGAATTCGAACTTTTTGAAACTTCTGTTATCAGATAACTATCTCTATATTTATTCTTATTAGAATGTCTTTTGGCTTTCCCAATATTTTAATTTTGGATCATTCTTTTGATCGCTTGCGCGATAATTTAAAGGCTAATTTCGATTCCCGCGCATCCCAAAATTTTCATATTCCCGAATCGGGTTATGTCACTATGCTGGGTACTGGTGGCCGCACCGTTGAAAAGGTGATTCAATGCGATCTTTTCCCATGTCCGATCTGCCCAACCTCACATTATAATTCTCGAGTTGGGCACAAATGATCTGACCACTCACGCCTCTAGCTGAGGTTGTGGGATCGAGAGTTGAAGAGCTCGCTCGCCCGCTTCGCGGCGAATTTCGCGTTCGCGTCATTGTGGTGTGCAAGGTAATTGATCGTAATATCGCCAAAACGCGGGAATCTGATAGTGTTTTTAACACGAAAGTTAACCATAGCCGTTTAGCACAAGATTTTTTAGCCTACTGGCGAAGACAATTGTCTCCAAAGTGGTAAATCTATGGCTCGAATCCTACCATAACCGTTTTTATAATGAACTTCGTGAAAAGGATAAAGTAAATTATATAAGAATGGTCGTTTAGCATAAGGTCTTGTAGCCTACTGGCGAAGACAACGGTGTTCTAAGTGGTATATCGATGGTTCGAATCCTACCATAACCGTTTTTCACTATGAATTTCGTGAAAAAGACAAAGTAAATTAAATAACCATAACCGTTCAGCAGCAGATCTTGTAGTGTAGTGGTCAGGATGTTGATGCCATGTGTTGACAGTCGAAGGTTCGAATCTCGTTTTAGATGAAAATTTTCGTTATTAATATTACATGGTAATGTTATGGAGAATAAGTTGTTGCCGCCTTCTTTCAATCACCAGTTAGCCTTGTGGTAAAGTCGTGGACTATCAGGTTCAGGATTAACGTATAAAAAATAGGATGGCACTTTTCTCGTGGCTGTAAATGAAAAACAAAGCTAAATCGCTGGTTCGAATCCTAGCATAACTGTTTTCATTATGAACTTCGTGAAAAGGATAAAGTAAATGAAATAACCATAGCCGTACAGTACAAGTTCTTGTAGTATAGTGGGGAAGACAATCGTCTCCTATAAGTGTTAAATCGATGGTTCGAATCCTACCATAACCACTTTTCATTATGAACTTCGTGAAAAGGAAAAAGTAGATGAAATAACGTTAACCATATCCTTTCAGAACAAGATCTTGTAATCTAGTGGCAAAGACAATG